GTTTTGACTTGGCAATAGTGTGTTTTGGCCTGGTAATGGTATGTTTTAACTTGTGAATAGTGTGTTTTGACTTTGTAATGGTATGTTTTAGCTTAGCAATGGTATGTTTAACTTGCTAATTGTATGTTTTGACTTGGCAATAGTATGTTTTGAATTGTCAATAATATGTTTTGACTTGACAAAGGTATGTTTTGACTTGTCAATGGTAAGTTTTGACTTGGCAATGGTATGTTTTGAGTTGGCAATAGTATGTTTTGGATTCAAAAATGATTCTAAATCAGCCATTGCCGACAACACCAAGCCCATCCTAATCACACCACCAAAACCATAGAAAAGAACCAGTCAGACCTCAAAATTCATAAACTTTTGGAAGCAGTACACATCAAGAAAATAGGACCCGCCCTCAACAGAGATGAAGGATACTACATTCCCAATGACTACCATCACTTGATAAAGTAATCAATATATTTCTTGTGTACATTACTTGTTTCATTCCAACTATGTACATCAACCCCATCCATTGTATAAACATCCACCTGGCTTCCTATATGTTGTATAAGCTCTAATTTAGTCCTTGTATGTCACCCTACTGGCTTCCTATCAATTTACTCAATCTCTTATACAAACGTTGTACATCAACCTCATCTATTGTATAAACAACTCATCCATATCTACTGTAATAACAACTCATGTATATATTCTCTCAATTTGTTACTCATGTAACACTTGCTTGACAACGACATTAGAATCTATGTCGAAACGTCGCCTCCACAGAATAAAAGAAGTTGTATATCCATAATAATTGTCATTATTCTTCTTGGCAATGGTATGTTTTAACTTGGCAATGGTATGTTTTGACTTGGCAATGGTATGTTTTAACTTGGCAATGGTATGTTTTAACTTGGCAATGGTATGTTTTGACTTGGATGTTTGGTTGGTTGGTTTGTTGTTTAACGCCGCACCCAGCAATATTCCAGCTATATGGCGGAGGTCTGTAAATAATAGAGTCTGGACCAGACAATCCCGTGACCAACATCGATCTACGCAATGGGGATACGATGACATGCGTCAACCAAGTTAGCGAGCCTGACCACCCGATCCTGTTGACAAGCATGGGTTACTGAAGACCAATTCTAACCTGGATCTTCACAACTACAATCAACAAGTACAAATAAAAAATACTGTTTATTCAACCAAAATCAGTACAAAACTTTGTAAAGATAACACACCTGAAGACAATAACACAATATAGAGTCTAGCCAATAGAAAGAGAAGCCATCACAAACATGGAATGTCACATCTAGGATGAAGGTGATACTGGACATGGGACAGTATACATCCAGTATACTTATACATCACCACCTCAGTCAGGATCAGCCAGGATCCAGTGACCTGGATCTACAGTTTACAATAAGTTAGTTTAATGCCACCTTGATAAATTTACCAGCAACATCACAGCGAGGGACACCAGAAATAGGCTTCACACATTGTATCCATGTGGGGAATTGAACTCGGGTCTTCGGCGTGGGGGCGAGAGAATGCTTTAACTACAAGGCTAACCCATCCATTTTACGACAACAAACTCCATGGACCCAGTCACTAACATCGTTATTTGCGAAGCCAACTACATCACTCTCTTTAGTATCTTCACACACACAAACAAACCAACTTTTAAGTACAGCATCTTAGTCTGTTTGCAGTGAAAACGTACCGATGAATTTCACTTTAAACAAAAAAGTAAATCAAATAAAGTGAAATTAAGATTGCGAATACACATGATTTTACCTTGCCAGTTGAACATTTAAATCTCAAAATTTTATTCAAATTAGGATAAAAGTTGTTTAACAAACGATCACAGATTCAAATCGCTATTACTGGTTTGTATTACAAGGGGTAAACGCAGTCGTTGGAAGAGTGAAACAAATGAAACGTGCGGTACGTGAAGAGCGTTAACTTATAACAACCCTTGTCATTTTCGGTGTTTCATTTGATGTGCATATCCCCTTGTAATACAAACCAATAATAGCCATGTAAAACTATGATCATTTGTTAAACAACTTTTATCCTAAGTCGAATACAATTCTGAGATTTAAATGTTCAATTGGCAAGGTAAAACCATGAAAATTCGCAGTCTTAATTTCACTTTATTTGTTTTACTTTTGGGTTTAAAGTGAAATTCATCGGTACGTTTTCACTGCAAACAGACTATAATTGGGCAGCTATTTTCAGGGTTGTTTTTTGTATCGACTCTAAAAAAGGGAAAAGATAGCCAACAGCAACTGGGTCAATGGTATTTTTTTTATCAGTACTGGATGGAGAGAGCATTGTGGATGATTAGAGGTGCACCGACAGAGGGAATGAAATGTGAAGCATGTGATTGTCTACTTCCAGGTCGACTTGTAGATGCAATAAATATACAGAAGCATTTAAACAAAAGTTGTGTTTTTTATACATTTAAAGCAGATGTGAAGAGAAGAAAATATGTCAACATTTTACACATTAAACACCTTTATGTACCAGTACATGATAATGTATAAAAACTAACAAAGCCATCTACTGAAATATCATAGAAGCTGTACGAGTAATGTTATGAGCTTATGGGAAGAAAACCTGAAGTAAGCTGATCCTAGCATGGCAAAGGGAAGCAACCTGCACATGGAACAGTTACAGCATGGACCACAAAATGTTAGTGTTTTGAATTCATACTCTTGCATTGAAGGAATTGTGTGCTGTATAGCTTTGGTGACTTTTCAGAGGTACAGATAAGCTGCGTATCTGTGTAAATTACGCAAATATTTATGTGAAAACTCAATTCCTATTAAGTCTATTGCATACAAGAACACTTGAATTTTTGTAAATACTCAATAAATGTGATCTAACATGCGTACACACAAAAATGTCAAATCTTAGCTTGCGGACCGGTGGATAGATAAAATAACTGAGGTATATTGAGAGGTTCTATTTCAGGACCTGAACTAAACAATTTGCAGTCTATCTTATCGTTTCTCATATTACAGATCAAATATAAATAATAAACACTAACATTTAAACTTAATTATATTTTTCTAATTAATGGAAAATGGCAAAATACCCAATTGAGTTCGAGTGAGGTGGGTACAAATTATTTGGTTACTCAAAGGAAAATTAGGATACTCAACTGAGATGAACACAAGCGAGTACATAACTCAATGATCCAAAAAAGTTAGCTAAACGCCCTGTGAACTGTATGTCTGTTACATTTGGTGTGTTAGGAAAACTTGAATTAGATGCAGGTGTTAAATGTTTACCCCTTTTGTTTACCCCATAAGCATCGGTGTGGTGATGACACAGTGTGCGAAATAGTTTCCAAATTTTGCTAGCCGACCGGGCTAGCTTTGTCTGAAAGTTACTAGCCCACAAAAAAATAAAGCTGCTCATATGATGAACATTTTTATCAGGCCATAATCTTGCATGATTTAAAAGAGTATTATAACTTAATAAGTCAGAAAAAGTGATATATTTACAAAATGACCCCATGAAAATTCACTAGCCAGTCGGGCCAGTGACAGTGGAGATTTACTGTCCCGACCGGAATTTTACTAGCCACGGGCTAGCGGGTCAGTGGCTATTTTCCCACTCTGTGACAAATCTTTAAACAGATGAATCGGTTCAGTATGAATTTTAGATACAAACCAGTGATCATAGGTTCCTAGCACAACAAAGGGACATCACTCTGCACAGAGACATTTGGTGCCTAAGATAACTCATCTGTACTCGGCCATAGTGTTTGTTTGTTTGTTTGTTTAATGCTGCACTTAGCAGGATTCCAGCTATATGGTGGCGGTCTGTAAATAATCAATCTGGACCAGACAATCCAGTGATGAACAGCAAGAGCATCAACCAACCATGAAATCCTGGATGAACTGACCATCAGATCTTGCTGTGCCTAGAAACCCATCACTTCTGACTTCTGCATCTGAAAGACCTCCCTACAATATTGGTACTTTAAACACAACATATTACATAAAACACTGTGATAGAACATTAGGCATACACAGACAGTGACAGCATACTACAAGCTACACGCACACCATAATCAAGACATAAGATATTGATAAATTATTGATTTGCACTCACATGAAAACACTTGTCACAACATTCATGCAATTATGACTTTTAGATCCATTTTGATATTTTTAACAGGGATTTCAGTGTACATGGTAAAGATGATTTTTCAGTAAAAAATATCTATTGATATAAACATATTTGAAATAAAACAATTCGCTGAATTAACAGAGCTACATATTTTACAAAGTCCTGCAAAAGACATGAAGTCCGATAATTATACTGTAAAGGTCATTCTTCCAAGTTGGACTTAGTCAGTTTCGTTAACGACTTTCTTCAAATTATAATGAATTTTGTTCCAGATTGGTCTGATGGATTATAAAAATAATTATCAAAGAATAGAATATTCTTTGTATATTTATACCTAAAAACATGGATTTGATCTATAAAACATATTTTGTGGCCTTTTCAAATATGCATTAATGCACAAGCTATTACATTTCATTTGACTTTATACAAACACAGACTTTGTTCTTTTTGGTATCGCACATATACAATATTACACTCTTATATGAACATACATACAGTTTCGCACGACACCAAAACCGTTTACATATTTTAATATGGTACACATCCTTGTTTTCAACACATACTCCAACTCATATTATAACAAAAAGGAAATATTACATCCTAGGTTTAAAAGAATTGGTTTGATCTCATTTTGCCAGATCAGCTTAAATCCTTGTCACAACTATTCTTCATTTTCAGAGTCAGCAGTAAATACAAGGGCAGATAACTCTCAATAAGCAACACATTGTTCTGTGGGAAATAGTCTCGATAAATTTACAAGACACACTGCTTTGTTCACAATCACACTTATCTTCAAATCCTCGTTACTTTCTCTCATTCTTAATAACAGCATATATGAAAAAGACAATAACTTGGCAATAAAGAAATGTCTCCATCCCGACCCAAGAAAAAGACTTGCTGTTTTTTACACAAGGTTCATTTGACTATCAGTTAACCATGACATATAAGTCATACATTAAGAGGCTATGCTTGTACAATCAAATTTGAAGAATCCTTGATACATGTACTTCTTAAATCTGAAATGTTATTTCCATTCACACTTGCCTCATTTTTCATATTGTACATCTAAAAACTACAAGTGCAATTCAATGTAAATTATTCAAGCTGAAGAGTTATTGTGCAAACACGCATACTTATCTGTATATATATGTATATAAAGTAAAAAAGAATACAAACTTATGTAAACATAAGTTTTACAGTAGTGTATGATTATTAATCTCTCAAAAACATGACAATAACATAATTATTATCGCTAAAAATAATTTATGAAATGCTTCAACCTTTGAGTGAACAAATATTTTGTAACAACACAAATTTTGAGCGCACATATTTCAGTAAAATCAAAGGAATGTCTGAAAGCTTTTGTTCATTTGTCTACAATTCATGATTTCATAAAATACAGTTCATTTGTACATAATTATGTCTATTAACCTGGTGTCTGTGTTATGCAAAATGGATCAGAACTAAAGTAAATCGAAGTTTATCATGCATATAAAACAAAGCATAATCAGTTGGTTGGGAGGTCGGTGCTGCTTTAAAGAGTATTACACTAGCTCATGGTGGCTTTTTAAAAATGAAAATTGTGTTATCTTTGTGCATGCTTTTAAAATCTTTTTGACAAACTATTGACAAAGAATTGTGTGGTAGATGAAACAAAATGCTTTTGATCACATTATGCCTAGGGAAGGCAGCCATTAAAGTTCATCTTTACGGTCAATCCAGGGCTTGACCGAGTCCAAGTCCTCCTGCACTTCGTCCTTGTTGACCGATGGTAGAGCACTGTAAGAGGATTGAGGAAATGTTTACTGGGTGCGTTTGGATATATTTACATAATGCAATACAGTCAAACATGGCAATGTCAAAGTTTGATATGTCAAACTGTTGGTTGTCTTAAGTAAAAGCTTGATCCTTTCCAATGTTTTCTTTATCCATCATATTTCATTGATCTTAAAATAAGAATGTAGGTCCCTTTGATAGTATTTGACTGCACATATTTCGTACTAATATTACTAGTCTCTTATTTAGACACTTTTCATAGAAGTCGTGACACTCTTACTTGACTAATTTACCAGAATGCTTGTACGTGATATTTATTAAGAAAGTTTGTTTTGTCTGTCGTTTAATGCCGCATTCAGCTATATTCCACCTATATGGTGGTGATCTGTAAATATTCCAGACTGGACCACACATTCCTGTGATCCACATTATGACGAATATGAGCATTGATCTACACAATGATATATGTCAACAAGCCTGACCACCTGATCCTGTTAGTTGTCTCTTACTACAAGCACAGGTTGCCAAAGACCAATTCTAACCCAGATCATGGGTCAGTGTTTGCAATACTTTAATTTGCCTGTTGGCAGGCTTTAAAATCTACAGGCCCTGAATGAAATCTGAAGGCCCATTTTATTAAAGTCAACCACCGGTAATAAAAAACAAAATAAACTACAATGTACACAATTTCATATTGTTTCTACAAAATCAATTAGCGAAGCCTATGGCGCAGAGAGACGTATATATTTGTTAAAGACTGGTGTTGACATTCCTATGCGCAAAGCGCTGAATTACCAGAAACTGAAACTGTAAGTTATAATAGCATGATGGATCATGGAAGATTCCCGAACGTTAATAAAGAACAAAAAGACAAGGGAAAGATTTCTGTTGAAAAAAAGACAGATAAATTACTGAATTTATAGAGATATTTGAAACTGCCGTTCTGATACAATAACAACTGGCACTGGGCCTCCAGCCGGCACTTATTTCGAACACTGTCATGGGTCCAATTAAATACAGGATAAACAGATATTGAGTGTCTACAGTACAGTAAGTGAGCTGGCGTGATCTCTAACAGTATTTAAGTGAAGACACACAGTATCAGGTCAATGTTTTGAGAAAGGGTGAAGTGATCAGGGTTTTGGCGTTAACCACTTCGGTAAAACCCATGAGAATGAATATGGTGCTCACTAACCGGAAACCTAATCAGGGTAAAACAGAATTCCAACCCACTATCATTGGTATCTGGCACGCTCCAAGTGACTCTGCACAGCTAATTACTACACCTTAGACAATTTGGCCAACTATGCCCCCACTTTCATAAAGAGCAGATATCCTAATGACATACCAGTCTAAGTACACTTAGGCTCAGTATTATTCGTTACACTGCTATACTGAGTCTAACAAACCCAAGTAGAAGGTCGCGTCAGCTAACCTTTTGGTCTGACCAATCAGAACACAGCTTACCAAATCGCGAAAGTTAACATTCGCAGTCGCACATACGGTTTGAACCTTTACCTTGAAAACTCAAATGATTCCGAATGCTATTTTCCGCACGATCGCCTCCGAGTCATGAGTAAACAGTCGCTGAACATAGCGTTTTTGTCAATATTCAAGGATGTCATCTTGCAGAAATATAACTAACAGTAACCATGTCATGAGAAACCCATAAGCATATATACTACAGGTCAAATATCTGTGTTTTATGCGGATTTTGGTTTGTCAGTGATTTGTGTCAGCGACCAGGGAAGAGAAAATCCAAAAACCGTTTTGGAAGTCCCACCGAACCCTAACAAGTAGTCGTCGTCTTATTAGTTACATCCGTTAGGCGGTCATGCGTTTGATTGGACGGTCATAGGTCACTCAAAGGTTAGCTGACGCGACCTTCTACTAGGGTTTGTTAGACTCAGTATAGCAGTGTAACGAATAATACTGATCCTAAGTTTACTTAAACTGAATGACATTCATAAATGATCACATGTTCGACCCAGTCAAAAACTATTTCTGAGAGAATGATTATGTCATGCTTGTCAAATATTATGGTCAAACTGCCATGTATGCACAGATAAACAACGACGATGATTTGTGGAATATAACAGGCACAGTGCGGATGTTTCTACCTCGGAACCCCAAACAAATTTGCGAACAGACCTTATCGCATGTCAAGTTGACTCTCTGACAGGACCCAAAGTAACGTTACTGCCTCCCTACCAGCAACCAATTATCATAACCAACACCCACACAGTGTTAAATTACAAACAGAAGCAAATTAAGTTTTCAAGCACTTTTAGTGTTTCAAAATCACAAAGCCAAATTTATTCTGCAATTATCTACATATCCTAGTAATCAATTTCTACACATCTAAAGAAAATTATCCATCAGCATCCTGTTTCAACTTTCATGTGAAATGGCCCACATACTGAGCCAGTCGGAGTAAGCCACAGCTGAATGAGGATTAAGATGGTCAAGTAAATGTTGAAATAACAGGATAAGGATTTCCTGTTGACCTTTTAAGCTACTTACTAAAGCATTTACATGGACATATCTTGAATTCAAAGCATATTCTGTTAAATATCTTCATCTCACACTGTACAACCATTCCATTTCTCCCCATGATAGTGAATGGAACCTCCCAACATGTATATAGTATGGAACATGTATAATATACTCATAACCTATTATGTTTAAAAGGAACGCAACAAACAGTGATGATAATGATGATCATATACTTACTTCACAATAGCAGCAGAAACTGTATCTATTACACCACCTGTCAATGGAAGATTAACTCATGGTCACAAAAAATTACTATCTTGAAATCCTCATTGTTTAACAAAAAGATATATTTTAAATTGAAAGGCATACTACAATGCCCAATAAACCTGTTGCTAAATATCTCAAACCATGTATCTTTGTTGCTACAGTAAAAGTACAGATTAAAATATTCTTGAACTACTTACTCTCAACAATAAAGCTGTAACATCTATGCTCAGAAAGATCTACTCACCATGACAACACACATATCAATTTCAGCCAGCATTGTTATGGCATACAAATGACAAAAATCCATGGTCTGTGACCAACATCAAAACAAATTCAATAGATACAAACAAATCAATCTCTGACTGAGAATGCCCACATGCTATTCTCCATCACGTCTATGGACCAAAGCACAGCCAGCAATTAAATGTTACAACAGCAAGTACATCCATTATGTTGGTTGGCATGTTTGTTCTTTAATGCCACACTCAGCAATACTCCAGCTGATGAGTCACAACCACACGATCCAGTGATCAACAGCATATGCATTGGTCTATGCAACTGGGATACGATGACATGTCAACCAAGTCAGCGAGCCTGGCCACCTGATCCTGTTAGTCATCTCTTACGACAAGCATGGGCTGTTGGAGACCAATTCTAACCCGGATCTTCACAGATTCACAGATGAGAATGCGTACGAGTGAAAAAAGAGGAAAATGAGCCATGGGTCTTGGGGGTCACAGATTTAGACAATTCATAAGAATGACCCAAACGCAATCAAATCCGCAGAATTCTGTGCAACCAAGGAAAATTCTCCCTGCAGATTACAGCAATTATGCTAGGTCAGACATGTCAGTATACATACCTGGCTTACAGACTGTATCACACATGGCAGTGCAGAGGTAACAGAACTTGCAGTACTGGAAAGACAAATGAGTATCTTCTATGATGTTCAATACCTGCTGAACTAGTTTAATAAAAGTAATTGTGTAATCACTCACTTCTTGTTTTTTCATTGCATATGGTATTTAGCTCATGCTACATGAATGATTAAATTAATAAATAACTTCATTAAGTTCACGTAAAAAATACTAGTGATCTGATAATACGAATGTATAAGGCACTAAACTAATTATGTCTTCTTGCACTCATTCACTTAAGAGTTTCAGGGTCACAGGTTCATTGTATACTATCAAGAGTATTTCTACAACCAGCTACTGGACATTCAGGAAAATGGAGACATGTATGTGATCACTACTTCTACATGATTCAGATTAAAATATTGATGTTTTCAGACATCATACATTTTTGGATAACAGTGTTTACTTGCGCTATAACAAAATATGTTGCGTCACACAGAAATTGTAAATACTTGGATATTTAAGTTGTCTTTTATAAGTTAGAGAAATGTTTTAATTTTTTCACAAGAACATAACATTCTGTTATATCTGGCTATTACACTGAACATTATTTTAATGACTAGTCACTTGATAATCATGAAATATAGACATGAATATGATCATTTACTCAAGTAACCATCTCTCTACAGATTTTATAAGTCTGTTTGAACACAATAATCGAATGAAAGCTCACCTTGCACATTTTACAGTTGGGTTTGGAAGCACTTGTTTCACAGGGACAGTCGGCATCACATAGTTTGCAAAACTGAAAATATGAATTAAATTGCAATCACATGAAAAGTAAGACAAACATTTTCTTCATCATTATCATGATTGTGTTAACCTATTTACACATAAACAGGTCTATATGTAGATGGCTAGGAATCGGCTATTAGTGAATGAGCGTTGGACCTAGGACGTATTATTTTCAGCAAGGCATTACAAGCCCCTGTGGTCTATTGAGCAGGATGGCCTCCCAAATCATGCAAATATCGTTCATGCTTCGCAACCCCAATCGCAAATGCCAAGATTCATCTTGGCCCTTCATCTTAAACATACAATCCATGAATATACTAGGCGACTACTTTCTTTCACTGTAATTGTTTTACAACAGACAGGCGTGTAGCACGCTTCCAGTTCACAATGACCAGAGAACCATGGTGAAAATAGAAGCACGAGCATGGGCGCACCTTACAGTAGGCGCAATAGCCGCAAACCGATCCTTTTGCATATTCCAGTGTTTCCTCGTCCACCGCTTCTTCTTTTTTATCTTCCGATGTCTCAGCCGCCAAAGACAGCCCGATCAGAGCGAAAAAGCATATGAGGACGACCTGTACAAACTTCATTTTGCGGTTCAGGTTGGTGCTTGGAAAGGGAGATAACACCCGGAAGTTACAACGCAACGGGAATGATAAAACGGAAAACGGATTTATATATTCCGTGTACAGGATTTAATCATAATTACATTAAGTTTTTAATGTCTAAATAGCAATAAATATATGTAAACGATGATACTGAAACGTTTATGTTCACAAAACATATTCTAATTATTCCCTGTAGTAACGACATTTTACTATGGGCCGGAATCATTTTTATACAGGATCCTACTTTTGTATTGATCAAAACTACGTGTCGACATCCTGTTGAGTTTCATGTGGTTTATTCTAAAGGGCCATACGGTTTGTTTACATAATTTCACCCTAATAGGCAGTCTGTTGCCCTGAAAGCATATCTTTTCGCTAATTGGAGACTTTCAAGTACAGAATCAATCGAATTTGACCCAATATATTCTGAAATAGTGTTCACCTAAACTGTCAATATGGTTTTAGCAGATTTGGGTAGAAAGATTACATCAGCCTTAAAATCACTAAGCAATGCCACAATCATTAATGAAGAAGTTCTCAATGGAATGCTTAAGGAGATATGTGCAGCCTTACTTGAGGCTGATGTTAATATCAGGCTGGTTAAAGTCTGAGAGAAAATGTGAGGTCAGTGATTGATTTTGACGAGATGGCTGGTGGACTGAACAAACGCCGTATGATCCAGTCCGCAGTTTTCAAGGAGCTCGTCAAGCTCATTGATCCCGGCGTTAAAGCCTGGCAGCCAACCAAAGCAAAAAACAATGTAATCATGTTTGTCGGACTTCAGGGTAGTGGAAAAACCACCACATGCACAAAACTTGCATACCACTACCAGAAGAAAGGCTGGAAGACCTGTCTTATCTGTGCAGACACATTCCGAGCTGGAGCCTTCGATCAGCTGAAACAGAATGCCACCAAAGCAAGGATTCCATTCTATGGAAGCTATACCGAAATTGATCCCGTTGTTATTGCCCAAGAAGGTGTGGATAAGTTCAAGAACGAGAACTTTGAAATCATCATCGTCGATACCAGTGGTCGTCACAAGCAGGAAGATTCCTTGTTTGAAGAGATGTTGCAAGTCAACCAGGCTATTGAACCTGACAATGTCATCTTCGTAATGGATGCCAGTATAGGTCAAGCTTGTGAAGCACAGGCGAAGGCTTTCAAAGAAAAGGTAGATGTGGCATCTGTCATCATCACCAAGTTGGACGGCCATGCAAAGGGTGGAGGAGCACTGAGCGCCGTTGCTGCTACTAAAAGTCCAGTGATTTTCATTGGTACTGGAGAACACATTGACGACTTTGAGCCTTTCAAAGTACAGCCTTTTGTGAGCAAACTTTTGGGTATGGGAGATATAGAAGGTTTGATTGACAAGGTTAATGAACTGAAGCTTGATGATAACGAAGAACTGATGAAAAAAGCTCCGCCATGGTCAGTTCACACTGAGGGACATGTACGAGCAGTTCCAGAACATCATGAAAATGGGTCCGTTCAGTCAGCTGATGGGCATGATCCCTGGGTTCAGCGCCGACTTCATGACAAAGGGTAGCGAGCAGGAGTCCATGGCGCGCCTCAAGAAGCTCATGACCATCATGGACAGCATGAACGACAGTGAATTGGACAGTTTGGAAGGGGAGAAACTATTTTCACGCCAACCCTCTCGAGCTCAGCGCGTTGCTCGGGGGTGCTGGAGTGTCCATTAGGGAAGTCAATGAGCTGCTAACTCAATACAAGAAATTCGCTCAGATGGTGAAGAAGATGGGAGGCATCAAGGGCCTGTTCAAGGGGAAGGGTGGAGACATCGGAAAGAACGTCAACCAAGCACAGATGGCTAAGTTGAACCAGCAGATGGCGAAGATGATGGATCCGAGAGTTCTGCAGCAGATGGGCGGCATGCAGGGATTACAGAGCATGATGCGGCAGTTCCAGCAGGGAGCAGCTGGAAAGATGGGCAACATGTTCAATATGGATAGATAGATACAGGATGTTTGTGCTCTGATGATGTGTGGACACTGAGAGGTGTGCTCTGATGATGTGTGGACACTGAGAGGTGTGCTCTGAGGATGTTTGGAATACAAGCAGTGTGGTCCTGAGTGTATGGATCCTAAAAGATGTTCTCGTATGGTGTATGGATGCTGTGTGCTCTGATGTGTGAAAACAGATCACAGTGCTCTGATGATTTGTGGAAACTGATTGGTCTGCTCTGATTATGTTAGGAAACCGATCGGTGTGCTCTGATCAGCTGATTGCTGCGCTCTGATGATATTTGGATACTGAGCGATGTGCTCTGATGATTGTGGATGCTGATCTGTGAGCTCTGATGATTGTGGATGCCGGTGTTGTAACATTGAATGACTTGATTCGTTATGACTGAGGAAGGTCTCATCACCTTGATGCTACCTGATGGTGATGAGAGTGACAGCCTTGACAATGATATCAACATCCATCATGTTTATGATATCACTGACAATTACTCAGTGTCTATGATTTGTGGAAGTTTGTTACTATTGCATGTTACAGAAACACAAAATGTTGATTATGATCAAGTCAGATACAACAAAATTCAAAATAATAATTGTAAATCATGTGAACAAAAATAGAACTATTCATGTGATTAGCCAAATTTAGTTGTAATTTAGTTTTCTGAATATTTTTGCAATTTGTTAATTTAGTATTGATCATGTTGACTGATTGTGATTGATTTTGTCAATAATCAGAATGTTATTTATGTTATTTGTTACTCTGTTCCAAGTTGGTTTTGGTGTTAAATGTTTCTGTTTACTGTCAATATTAACATGATTAAGGCCCAGAGTGGTGGCCCATTGTGTAACTTAATGTCATAAAAGTCTGGGTTCAGGATATCTTGGACATGGTCTCATGGATATAGAAGCTGCCCGAGAAGCAGAAGGTGACTGGTTTAAATTAAAATACCCTGGCCACAACATATCAAACACATTTAAAAGTGGTATTTGTTGTTACCCTGCCTGAGATTAAAACAAGGATGGGTAGACTGGGAGTAGTTATTGTGTGTCAGTGTGGGGTAGCCATGTTAAACAGAAGCATGGTATATGCTGCGCTTAACACTGGCATTAGTCCAGCCTAGTTAAGTCAGCTTCACACAAGGACGAATGTTGCTTTGTAAGCGCAATGATCTTGAACGTAACACTAAACCCCATCTATGCTTCTCCCATGTCATCGTGTCTGAAACAAAAGGCAATGTGTATTCACTCACTGAATCTTCGATCGACAGAAACGTTTTGTTATAGTGATCCTGAAACATTTTGTTACCATGGTTACTGTTTAGTTTACACTTTTGTCGCAGTGCAAGGAATCATTGGTTTGGTTTTTCATTTAGTTGGTTTACAAAACTTTGGCCTTAACAAAACAATATACAGTACTTGAATGTAAGTTTTGTTAAAGAAAATCAGGTTTATTAGGTTCAAGGAAAAGGGAAGGAATGGGACATAAGTGTCTGAAGAGGCAAATAAATTTATACTCAGTAATTCAGACAGGGTAACTTGGTTCATAGGTTGTCATCATTCACCAACATTGCTCCTTATTTCAATCAAGGGGCAGTGGGGTTAGTGGTTAAAGCGTTCGCTTGTCACGCCGAAGACCTGGGTCTGATTGCCCACATGGGTACAATGTGTGAAGCCCATTTCTGGTGTCCACCTCTGTGATATTGCTGGAATATTGCTAAAAGTGGCGTAAAACCAAACTCACTCACTCACTTTATTTCAGTCACTGGATTGTCTGGTTCATAGCATGTTTACTGGCCACTGTCAGAAAGCTGGAACATGCTGAAGATTTATCTGTTTATTAGAGAGTCTGTGTGTATGTATATATCCTGTGTATGTCATTACGACAGTAATTATTGTATATGAACATATTTAACACATTAGGAGTGCAACCATGGATGTGATGAGTGTGTGTCATGAATGAACAACAGTCATACTTACCTCATGGTATCTGAATTGCAGTATACATTTTGATACAGCATTGTTTTTTAATTTGTATGTTGTAATACAACATAAAATATCAGACTTTGCAATGAGGACTAGATTAAATTTTGCACGATGGTTAACATGTACTACTAACACAAAAGTGAAGGACCACCACTTGTGGTCCTTAGCATTTTTGAAGCAGTTCATTTAGTGACTCGGTAAACGTGTTCACAAATACGTAAGATCAGCCATGGTAAACATGGCGGCAACTCATGTCTAGTTCCTCCACTCTTGATTATAATTGTGAAGTCTCAAATGCTGGATTCTGATTATCGTTATCTATCTATTTTTTTCAAATGTTTTGGTTGATGGTTGACCTTCAATACTTCATGTTCGTACAACTCCTAAAAAGAATAAAGTTTCATGATTATTGTGATTAAGGTGGTTCCACTACACAGAATGTGTAGTCATTAGAACCATATGCTTAGCTTTATATTTGTCTGTACATATGCTTGTAAATAGCTGTTGTGTTTGCTTGTAATGAATGGGTTTAGTGCAGCTGTTCAGAACAACTATGTTCAGTTTGTAATCAATAATGCCTCACAGACTGGACACAGTGGAAGGCTCAGTTACACAAAATGACCATAGCATTTTGATTGTTGCAAGAACTGTGTAAGCATGGTAGTTACGATCACCTTAGAGCTAAGATTCCTTTACTGAACAGTGCCCAGGGTGCTGTTATACAAAGAAATCTTAGCTCTAAGGTGGTCGTAACTGCCCTACCTTAACATTGACTAACAACTTTCATAGCAGGAAGGTTGGACTAAGGCCCAGGGCTTAGATTTTCGAAGCTCTCTCAGAGCTAAGATAATCATAAGTGCCATGCATTAACAGTAACTTATGACTATCTTAGCACTATGGGAGCTTCGAAAATCTAGGCCCAGGCCCTGAGCAACAAAACATCGTAACGTTACAATCGGTCGTAACCCTATGCTATATCATTGGCTTACGAATGACGTAGTGCTACGAATGCTTTGTGGATAGGGTCACCGATGTGTTTTTGATCAGCGGTCCATTCAGACCCAGTTCTGTATATACTATTTGTAATGCAAATACAGCCAATAGCTTAGTTGAAGTTGAATTCTTTGCCTTACTTCCATCAATGTTGAGTGTTCTGCAGTGAATTGTATAAGTGTCCAAGTTGGGGTGTGGACAAAGTGGTATGTGTATTTCAATGGCATTAAAAGTAAATCATTGTTTAGTTTCAAAGAGGTGTTTAATTGATGTTTGCATAATCCAGTGTCATGTTCCGTCTGTTATCTTCATGCTAGAATCATATGCAAGTGTCATTGACGATGACAGACTGGTTGTGATAAATTACAGTGAAACCTTGTTAAATTGAACCCTGTTATTGATAAGTGGTTTCTCTATACAGTGGAATCTCCAAACCAGACACTAACTAGTCTGGAATTCTGTCAGTACCAATCAAATTCATGGTCTCAATCTATGATAATCTACCCAGTAAAACAAATATATTCCAAATTTTTGTCAAAGGCACAAGGATACATCTTTCAGTATTTTTGTAAACATTGCAGATAAATACAGGAAATGACAGGATTCAACATATTTTTAAGTACATGTGAATGCCATGCTTGAGTTAGCCTGTACGTTTTGTATCAAATGTGTGTCTCCAGTCCAACAATGTAAAAACAAACAACGTAAGTCCAGTTTAGACAGATTCCACTGTACTAAGGATGATGAAACTGTGGTTGCAGTTAAGGATGAGCGTCCTCGTCATAATCCTAATGATAACCATTTCGGAAAGCAGATTGACAGATTGAAATTTTGAACTGAAGAAACTACAAATGCCAGCTCATTTCCCCCAAATTAGTGTTTTATAAGATTTCTACATTCACTGACCCTGTGTAACAGAAGTAATTTAATAGATACTTGTGATAGTCCTTCTCCCTGAATATGCTGAATACCTGTGTATTAAAGTTATCAGATCATCATTTTCATACTTTCTTGTTGTTTTGTGTCACATTAACTCAAGTGGAAGGATGACTGTACCAAGCCGTCACTATTTACTGGTCAGACATCGACTGTTTCAGTACTGAGGAACCCTTTACTGGTGACAACCTTATTAATCTGGCATTGGACTCTTTCTACAGTCGGTGTGGATTATGTCCTGTATCTGTGTCATCCTTGTCAGCTGGATTGCAGGAGGCTCTTCGGACCAACGCTTTGTCTCTGAGAGAAGCAAACAACTGTTTAAATTGAAAAGGAGACCCAGTGAGAATGGATATTCTGAAGCTGAGGAAATCTTGACTTGCGTAATTTAGTAAGTTTGTATAACAATGCTGCTATTAAGGGAGAATATGGTTCAGGCCCTGGCACAGACTAGAGGCCCTTTATGGTTCAGGCACTGGCACAGACTAGAGGCCCTTTATGGTTCAGGCACTGGCACAGACTAGAAGCCCTTTATGGTTCAGGCACTGGCACAGACTAGAGGCCCTTTATGGTTCAGGCACTGGCACAGACTAGAGGCCCTTTATGGTTCAGGCACTGGCACAGACTAGAGGCCTTTATGGTTCAGGCACTGGCACAGACTAGAGGCCCTTTATGGTTCAGGCACTGGCACAGTCTAGAGGCCCTTTATGGTTCAGGCACTGGCACAGTCTATGGAGGACTGGCCCTTTATGGTTCAGGCACTGCCTCTTTATGGTTCAGGCCCTGGCACAGACAAGAGGCCCTTTATGGTTCAGGCACTGGCACAGTCTAGAGAGGCCCTTTATGGTTCAGGCACTGGCACAGACTAGAGGCCCTTTATGGACTACTGGCACAGACTAGAGGCCCTTTATGGTTCAGGCACTGGCACAGACTAGAGGCCCTTTATGGTTCAGGCACTGGCACAGACTAGAGGCCCTTTATGGTTCAGGCACTGGCACAGACAAGAGGCCCTTTATGGTTCAGGCACTGGCACAGACTAGAGGCCCTTTATGGTTCAGGCACTGGCACAGACTAGAGGCCCTTTATGGTTCAGGCACTGGCACAGACTAGAGGCCCTTTATGGTTCAGGCACTGGCACAGTCTAGAGGCCCTTTATGGTTTAGGCACTGGCACAGACTAGAGGCCCTTTATGGTTCAGGCACTGGCACAGACTAGAGGCCCTTTATGGTTCAGGCACTGGCACAGACTAGAGGCCCTTTATGGTTCAGGCACTGGCACAGACTAGAGGCCCTTTATGGTTCAGGCACTGGCACAGACTAGAGGCCCTTTATGGTTCAGGCACTGGCACAGACTAGAGGCCCTTTATGGTTCAGGCACTGGCACAGACTAGAAGCCCTTTATGGTTCAGGCACTGGCACAGAAAAGAGGCCCTTTATGGTTCAGGCCCTGGCACAGTCTAGAGGCCCTTTATGGTTCAGGCACTGGCACAGACTAGAGGCCCTTTATGGTTCAGGCACTGGCACAGACAAGAGGCCCTTTATGGTTCAGGTTCAGGCACTGGCACAGACTAGAGGCCCCTTTATGGTTCAGGCACTGGCACACACTAGAGGCCCTTTATGGTTCAAGCACTGGCATAGACTAGAGGCCCTTTATGGTTCAGGCACTGGCACAGACTAGAGGCCCTTTATGGTTCAGGCACTGGCACAGACTAGAGGCCCTTTATGGTTCAGGCCCTGGCACAGACTAGAGGCCCTTTATGGTTCAGGCACTGGCACAGACTAGAGGCCCTTTATGGTTCAGGCACTGGCACAGACTAGAGGCCCTTTATGGTTCAGGCACTGGCACAGACTAGAGGCCCTTTATGGTTTAGGCCCTGGCACAGACTAGAAGCCCTTTATGGTTCAGGCCCTGGCACAGATTAGAGGCCCTTTATGGTTCAGGCCCTGGCACAGACTAGAAGCCCTTTATGGTTCAGGCCCTGGCACAGTCTCAGACTAGAAGCCCTTTATGGTTCAGGCACTGGCAGACAGAGGCCCTAGAGGCCCTTTATGGTTCAGGCACTGGCAGACTAGACTAGAAGGCCCTTTATGGTTCAGGCACTGGCACAGACTAGAGGCCCTTTATGGTTCAGGCACTGGCACAGACTAGAGGCCCTTTTATGGTTCAGGCACTGCACAGCAGGCCCAGTTCAGGCACTAGAGGCCCTTTTATGGTTCAGGCACTGGCACAGACTAGAGGCCCTTTATGGTTCAGGCACTGGCAGACAAGAGGCCCTTTATGGTTCAGGCACTGGCACAGTCTAGAGGCCCTTTATGGTTCAGGCACTGGCACAGACTAGAGGCCCTTTATGGTTCAGGCACTGGCACAGTCTAGAGGCCCTTTATGGTTTAGGTACTGGCACAGACAAGAGGCCCTTTATGGTTCAGGCACTGGCACAGACAAGAGGCCCTTTATGGTTCAGGCACTGGCACAGACTAGAGGCCCTTTATGGTTCAGGCACTGGCACAGACTAGAGGCCCTTTATGGTTCAGGCACTGGCAGTCTAGAGGCCCTTTATGGTTCAGGCACTGGCACAGTCTAGAGGCCCTTTATGGTTCAGGCACTGGCACAGACTAGAGGCCCTTTATGGTTCAGGCACTGGCACAGACTAGAGGCCCTTTATGGTTCAGGCACTGGCACAGTCTAGAGGCCCATTATGGTTCAGGCCCTGGCACAGACTAGAGGCCCTTTATGGTTCAGGACAGCACAGACTAGAGGCCCTTTATGGTTCAGGCACTGGCACAGACTAGAGGCCCATTATGGTTCAGGCACTGGCACAGACTAGAGGCCCATTATGGTTCAGGCACTGGCACAGTCTAGAGGCCCTTTATGGTTCAGGCACTGGCACAGTCTAGAGGCCCTTTATGGTTCAGGCACTGGCACAGTCTAGAGGCCCTTTATGGTTCAGGCACTGGCACAGACTAGAGGCCCTTTATGGTTCAGGCACTGGCACAGTCTAGAGGCCCTTTATGGTTCAGGCACTGGCACAGACTAGAGGCCCTTTATGGTTCAGGCACTGGCACAGACTAGAGGCCCTTTATGGTTCAGGCACTGGCACAGACTAGAGGCCCTTTATGGTTCAGGCACTGGCACAGACTAGAGGCCCTTTATGGTTCAGGCACTGGCACAGACTAGAGGCCCTTTATGGTTCAGGCACTGGCACAGACTAGAGGCCAGCTTTATGGTTCAGGCACTGGCACAGACTAGAGGCCCTTTATGGTTCAGGCACTGGCACAGTCTAGAGGCCCTTTATGGTTTAGGCACTGGCACAGACAAGAGGCCCTTTATGGTTCAGGCACTGGCACAGACTAGAGGCCCTTTATGGTTCAGGCACTGGCACAGACTAGAGGCCCTTTATGGTTCAGGCACTGGCACAGACTAGAGGCCCTTTATGGTTCAGGCACTGGCAGTCTAGAGGCCCTTTATGGTTCAGGCACTGGCACAGTCTAGAGGCCCTTTATGGTTCAGGCACTGGCACAGACTAGAGGCCCTTTATGGTTCAGGCACTGGCACAGACTAGAGGCCCTTTATGGTTCAGGCACTGGCACAGTCTAGAGGCCCATTATGGTTCAGGCCACTGGCACAGACTAGAGGCCCTTTATGGTTCAGGCACTGGCACAGACTAGAGGCCCTTTATGGTTCAGGCACTGGCACGAGACTAGAGGCCCTTTATGGTTCAGGCACTGGCACAGACTAGAGGCCCTTTATGGTTCAGGCACTGGCACAGACTAGAAGCCCTTTATGGTTCAGGCCCTGGCACAGACTAGAGGCCCTTTATGGTTCAGGCACTGGCACAGTCTACAGGCCCTTTATGGTTCAGGCACTGGCAGACTAGAGGCCCTTTATGGTTCAGGCCCTGGCACAGACTAGAGGCCCTTTATGGTTCAGGCACTGGCACAGTCTAGAGGCCCTTTATGGTTCAGGCACTGGCACAGACTAGAGGCCCTTTATGGTTCAGGCACTGGCACAGACTAGAGGCCCTTTATGGTTCAGGCACTGGCACAGTCTAGAGGCCCTTTATGGTTCAGGCACTGGCACAGTCTAGAGGCCCTTTATGGTTCAGACACTGGCACAGACTAGAGGCCCTTTATGGTTCAGGACAGCACAGTCTTGAGGGTCTTTCCCTGCCGAGTTGGTGTCAACCTGTTTCAGTTGTATCTCACCAGGTGAGCTTCATGTTAAGGTTTGGTTGTTGTTTAAGTATATATGGTTGTTGTTTAAGTATCTATGGTTGTTGTTTAAGTATATATGGCCTATTCTCAGTTTGTATGCATATATGACGCAATGGCAATGTCACTTGAAAGATTCAGGTTAGAACTCGTCTTCAGCAACTGATGCTTGTTATAAGAGGGAATCAGGTAGTCAGACTCGCTGTATTGGTTGACACATCAATGTATCCAAGTCACTTAACAATGGATTGTCTGGTCCAGACTTGATTATTTGCAGACCGCCGTCATATAGCTGGAATACTGCTGAGTGCAGCGTTAAACAACAATGTCAAGGTCACATGTGACATGCAGTCATATTCAATCCAGGATGAACACATCCAACTAACCCCAAAAAGAACGAACAAAAGATTTTATTTCCAAATTTTTATTCCACTAGAATACATTAGCCCAGTGGATGCTGATCTGTGAGCAACACTACTACTGAGAAACTAGATACAAACAGCTGATGAGGGGAGGGGGGAGCAGGGATGTGAGGGGGTGGTACAGAGGAAGGGAGCAGATGGCTCATGTACAATGCAGCCCAATATACATGTTGCAAGACAAGAAATAACAGGCGATAGAAAAAAAAGTAACACCATGACTTAACCATTACATCTATGGAATACGTCAGTAATGTATAAATTTCCCAGCAATAAAGTCGTTCATAAAATGACATTACCAATACAGCGAACATCTAGACAATGATAAAGGACATAGTTAAAATAGGGCTTACCTTTCCAAAATATTAAGCAATGTTTGAAGTATGTACTGCTAAAACGATTAAATCCATAAAATGTCAAAAATATCTATAGAAGAATATCAAGTCAAGTTCAAATTAGTATGTCACACGTATAATAGAATACTTGATCTGTAGTATTTCTTGGAATATATGCTGACTACTGTCACGACCATGATTAAATTTATTCTTCTCATGAACATTCGATGGTCAACCACTCATTCACTTGCAGAACACGTAAAGCTCAGATCATGGTTTCCCCAGTCAAAAACACCAATTACACACACCATCATATTTAAATCATTCACAATTTCCATTCACATCTTGGATCAGTGTTGAAACATTTTCAATAGGTATTTCTGTTAAAGAGTTTAATATTCTACATACACAGTGATTGTAGTAGTCTACTCAAAACCACTTTGTTAACAGGCTCAGCTGCATTTGAAAAGGGAGATCTGATGACTTTGTAAATAAACCACACATCATTCACTAAACAAATTCATCAATGTATATCTTTTCACTGACAAAATAAAATCAGCAGAGCGTCAGACAGAGCAAGAGTTTATGCAAGTCCAAAGAGAACACAGTCGAATCATCTTACATGGAGCTTACAGATAAAAGATATTTATCTTTACCATGTTTTCAGAGGAAATATGTGACCAATGGCAGGAGTGGTCAATTGTCAAGACATGTTGTCACCTTTCTGCACAAAAATGCCATGTGACCAGTCTCATTTTTTAATGGATGCTAGTTGACATATTTGCCTCCCTATCAGGTTTTGTATGATTCATCTACATCTCCAAAGCAACGAACAAATACAAGAAAGTCAAGAAATAGGTTGTATACCACAAAGTCTAGGTTTGAAATATGCAACAAATACAGCCTTTTGAACCAAACACTGCCACTCCATTTCACGGTCAACTCCTCTCAAACCCTCACTGCCTGCATTGGCCATTGTGAATATATCTTCAGAAAAATCGCCATTGTGTAGATATCTTGGGGCAAGCTGCCATTGTGAATACATCTTGGGGCAAGTTACCACTGTGTATACATCTTGGGGTAAGTTACCACTGTGTCGATATCTTGTGGCAACTTGCCACTGTGTATACATCTTGTGACAACTTGCCACTGTGTCGATATCTTGGGGCAGGTTGCCATTGTGAATACATCTTTGGACAACTTGCCACTGTGTCGATATCTTGGGGCAAGTTGACATTGTGAATACATCTTGGGGCAAGTTGCCACCGTGTATAAATCTTGGGACAACCTGCCACTGCGTATATTTTACAGGACACTTACAAATGTTTTTATCTTTGGGCAGCTTAACATTGTATGTCTTAGGGCAACGTAATACTAAATAAATACATCTTGGGGCAACTTGCCACAATGCATACCTTCAGGCGAATTGTAACGGCATGTACATTTGGGGCAAATTGCCACAGTGTACACCTTACCTCTGTGACTACTGAATAGCCTGAGGTCAAGAGTGACAGGTCATTCAGCAAAGGGTGCATCTAAATTTATAGTAACTTCTCATTACCTTTTCGTCACAGCACTGAAATAACATTTTGATTAATGACCAGCATTTAATAAAAGAAATAATCTGCTACTTGTACATAAACTGTCACAAGACTGACAACAGAATGTGTGACATGCTCATATCAAGTGAAACATGAAGTACCAGATAAACACAAACAGAAAAACATGCATTTACATACACAAAACTCGTACAGCTGAATTTAGAAACCGAACCTTACAATCACTAATCCTGCACTAGCATACAAAAACCCTATGACAATTTGGCTTGGGAAACGTACATGTCCAACTACTGTAGTTTGTTTTCCTGTGAAATAAATCAAGCGGACCGTGATTGGGCTGAGCAGGAGGGCTGGCACACACACATCCACCACGTTACAAGCCTACAGTAAGCCGAAGCATGGAGCTCTGGTACACATTCACATTAGCAGCTCAACACAGCATCGATTAAATGTACAAAGTTGCCTCATGCGTCGGAGCCAGCGAGCAGGACACTCATATTCTGTGATCAAACAATAAAAATATATCAATCAAAAATACTCATTTCATTTGCATTTACCGTTTTCAAACAACCATTTTGGTGCAGTTGAATGACCAGAAAGTTCAGTTTTCTAAATTTTCAATTTTCAGCTTGACTTTCACCCAGTAAATCATGAGAACCATCAAGTGCCTTATGGAATGTCTACCTAGTCATATCTCCGGGGAATGTCAGTCGGAAATCCCCCCTCAAAAAGCTGATCCATACACAAGCATTCGAAATTGACTTAGTTTTGAGACACTCTTTTATCGAAGCAGCAAAGCCAATGCCTTCCTCCCTATGGTTAGATTCAAGCATAGGAAACACTAGATATCAGAACATATTACACCTGCTGATAATATAATATTGTTAATGACAGATTAACTGGTTCTCATTTCACCGGGGTCATGCTGACCTGGTCGACGTTCAAAATACAGACTACATTGATGCAATGTACATGTACATATATATAGTGATCTAGACAGTTATAACATGGACTTCACAGGATAACATGGTACATACACACTATTACTGAGTCAAATTGTACAGTTAGACAAACCATATCTGCTTCACTATACAATATATCGAACACAAACTGTGTCATGTTGAAATGTACATGACCATTTGAAGTTTTTCTTTAAAAGACATTCAGGAATGGATTTTTTATCTCATACACAAGAAATGATAAATCTCCAGATAACATTTTCAAGCTTCGAAACAAGATCTACGATATAACTTTTACATCCAACGAGGTCATTTTGTTACACGACTACCGGCATTTCCAAGCAGAGAGTTCATGATGAATACATCTCTAATATAGAAAATAATCTGCAGCTATGTAGGCGATTTTAATTCATCTGTGCCCCTTTGAGAGTATTTTACGAGGGATGTTTCAACCTTCTTTCAGTTAATCTTGAATCTTCAGTGACTTACATGAAAAAAAACACACATGGGCATCATGATTACAAGACTTTTCAGAAAACTAGTTCCTATATCGACTAGTTCTGTTTTGTAGTAATGATAATCAATGTATATATACAGGAAACACCTCAGACTATTTCAGCACAGTCTGCACAGATGAAATCCACTGATACGTCATTTAGTGTGCTACTAGCACAGTGAATATTGGTGGATGTAGGGACGATGAGTAAAGCCTGTATCAACAGCATCATGTGGTCGGCGATGTTGCAATGGTGATGACGATGATGAAGGTGACGAGTATGACGATGATGAAGTTGCTGCCATTACGTCCACACAAGGAGGATGTTATGACTAAGGACGACCATCTCAGTTGCTGAACATGATCAAGTAACGTAGGCAGACCTGCGATGCATCGTGGACAATGTATTCATTGTACGGCATGTACGCTCGGGGATGCGACTCGGTGTACGTGGTCCTGCCCAGGGGCATGTTGGTACCTGTCGGGTGGAATATTCAAGTTAGAACAGGCACGAGACAATACAATCATCACTTTGGGGACAGGTTCAGCAACTCAAACACTGAGATTGTGTTTCAGACTTATCATATGCTACTCACACTTTGCTAAGGATCATAAAAAATTCACAACTTTACTTAAACGTAGAGTTATGATTTGAAATTGTATCCATTTAAAAATCGATAAATAATAATAATGGTAACCCCTCTTTAGGCAAACAGCCACTGTAATCTAACCTTCTGCACCTGATACATGAGTAACCATAAAAATGGTTTTCATGGCACCAATCAACCATTTTGCAAATCATGGAACAAGTCATTGACAAGTACACAGCACCGGTCAATAGCAGGTATGGGATCAACAAGATGAAATGACATACTGAAAATGACATACTGAAAATACTGATCCATGCTTACACTAAGCTTAGATATTTAAACCAAATCTGACCCCACGTCAAAGTTTTCTGATGAATCCATGATTTCATCCTTAGCAAAGTGTGAATAGTATATAAAACTGTGAGTGCCACCTCTATATGCATCTATGTAAAGGGAGTGAGTGAGTGAGTGAGTGAGTGAGTTGAAATTAAACGTTGCACCAGCTTTATCCCAGCCATTATAGCAGCAAGAAGAAGACAGTGAGTATGGTTTTATGCCACTTTTAGCAATATTCGAGCAAAATTACTAAGATAACGTTAAAAGCACTGAATGACCATCAGACAGCCCAGTGTTCCACATGACTCGCGAAGTAAATGATCTGGGACATGTCAATTTGTGTATAAGTGAGTGTTGGGTTTTATGCCACTTTTTAGCAATATTCCAGCAATATCATAGTGGAGGACACCAGAAATGGCTTCACACATTGTATATGAATAGGATGAGTGAGTGAGTTAAGATTTAGAGTCACATCGGCAATATTTCGGCCATATCGTGACTAAAACAAGTTATATATTAACTTAAATAAGGTTATAAATAAGGTTATCCCTTAAAGCCTGTCGACAGAGGACAGCAAAACAACTAGGTTATCACCGACAGAGATATAAAACTAGCAGATAACTTAAACTATATACTACAATGCAGGACAATACAACATACAAAACAGGCTATAGATCAGCAGCAAATGAAGGTAGGTCATCATACTGACTGACTGACTGAGTTTGGTTTTAAGCCGCTTTTAGCAATATTCCAGCAACATCACTGCAGGGAACACCAGAAATGGGCTTCACACATTGTGCCCATGTGGGGATTTGAACCCGGGTCTTCGGTGTGACGAGCCAACGCTTTAACCATTAGGCTACCCCACCGCCCCAGATCATCATACTAGGGACCATGGGGATTTGCAGTACTTTTGCTACCTTCATGGACCCTAGCTGGAATTACATCATCCCCCATGTCACTGGGTGAAACAGTTTGTTTCCGGTAATTCTTAATGATATACATATTTATTCTGCCTTTTGTCACAGCATTTTGGTCTACATACCAAAAGGCATTGCAACATCATATTCTGGTGAAGGCTCTTGTTGGCCATGAATCTTGATGGAGTTGATATCTGTATCCAGATGATCATCTTCATCCAGGTCTATGTCCACTTTTGAAGTGCCAAGGGCAACCTAGAGTGAAAAGTCATCAATGTCAGTTAAATGACACATTAATGATGGGTCAAAGAAGCATGTGAAGAAGTATGTGAAGCATCTGACAAAAAACTGTGCGCCATAACACATATACACCCATCACAGAAACCTTATTGGTCAGGATACCGTGGCACTAAAAATGACTGGATGTATACAATATCCACCAAAACTTACACTGGTCACATGTTGCTGTATTCATTTCCCAAGGATCACTATCCCCATAATGGCAAAATACTCTTCATGATTATGTCTCACGAGTTATGATTATGTCAAATATTTAGGTCTGTATATAGAAATATTTAGGTGTGTATATAGAAAAGTGGAAGGAGAGTATTGAAAGGTTTTTAAAGTTCTGCTCCAGAAAGCAGCACTATCACCAATTTCAGTCAAACTTGTTGCCATGGAAATGCCAAAATATTTTATTCAAATTCCAAAACTACCAAAGGCACCAGTACACCACTAGACCAATCTATGTGCCAAGTTTGGTGAAGAAACATTGAGCGGTTTTAGAGTTCTGCTCGAGGAAAAGAGCACTACCACAATTTCAGGCTAAGTCAAACTTGTTGCCATGGAAGCGCCAAAAATATTTTATTCAGAATTTCCAAAACTACCAAAAGGCACCAGTACACCACCAGATCTATCTATGTGCCAAGTTTGGTGAAGAAATATTGAGCGGTTTTAGAGTTCTGCTCGGGAAAAGAGCACTACCACCAATTTCAGTCTAAGTGGAACTTGTTGCCATGGAAAGCCAAAATATTTTATTCAAATTCCAAAACTACCCAAAGGCACCAGTACACCACCAGATCTATCCATGTACCAAGTTTGGTGAAGAAATATTGAGCGGTTTTAGAGTTCTGCTCGGAAAAGAGCACTACCACAATTTCAGGCTAAAGTCAAACTTGTTGCCATGGAAATGTCAAAATATTTTATTCAGAATTCCAAAGCTATCAAAAAGGCACCAGTACACCACCAGATCTATCTATGTGCCAAGTTTGGTGAAGAAATATTGAACGGTTTTAGAGTTCTGCTCGGAAAAGAGCACTACCACCAATTTCAGTCTAAAGTGGAACTTGTTGCCGCTGGAAAGCGCCAAAAATATTTTATTCAGAATTCCAAAACTACCAAAAGGCACCAGTACACCACCAGATCCATGTATGTGCCAAGTTTGGTGAAGAAATATTGAGCGGTTTTAGAGTTCAAACAATTAACAAAGCAAAGCAAGTTTAACGCTGCACTCAGTCTGTAAATAATCAAATAATCGAGTCTTGACCGGACAATCCAGTGATCAACAACATGAGCATTGATCTGTGTCAACCGAGTCAGCGAGCCTGACCACCCAATCCAGATCACCTGTTATGACAAGCATGGGTTACTGAAGACCAATTCAAACCCGGATCTTCATGTGTATCAGGCATGGGAACTCCCTTTCTTTGATTTCTTTTGTCACTCACATCGTGTATTTTTGGGGGGTTCACTGGGGTATGAATATAAAAAACAACAAGCAATCTTCGAGGATTCAAACAGTTTGCACAACTGTTTTCAAATACATACCACAATACTCTTCCAGATATTCTCAACTATATACATAAATGGTCAGCTATGCTTGTCAGAATGATTCAGTCTTTAGATCAGACAATAATACATTTCACCCGAGGCGACCTCCAATGGAGATGTCCCTTAATCTTTATATAAAGAGTGAGTGAGTGAGTGAGTGAGTGAGTGAGTGAGTGAGTGAGTTTGGTTTTTACGCCGCTTTTAGCAATATTCCAGCAACATCACGGCGGGGGACACCAGAAATGGGCTTAACACATTGTGCCCATGTGGGGATTCGAACCCGGGTCATCGGCGTGACGAGCCAACGCTTTAACCTTTAGGCTACCCCACCGCCCCGAGTGAGTGAGTGAGTGAGTGAGTGAGTGAGCAAGCGAGTATGGTTTTACGCCAGAAATATTCAAGCAATTTCACGGCATGGAAACACCAGAAATGGGCTTCACACATTGTACCCATGTGGGGAATCTAACCCGGGTCTTCGCATGACAAGCGGAGAACGCATTAGCTACCCAACCCTTTATACAAAGAGGTATAGTACCAGTGCAAAAGATCTGATCTTAAAGGCCGGGGTTCAAACCTATACACAGATGGGGTGTGGCCTCCTTGCCTTGTCAAAGCTGTCCTTAGATGCAAAGCAATGTAGTATTCAAGTACATTTCAAGAAATATCACAAAACTGACTCTCCGCTTCAGGCTGATATTAAGTCATAGTATAAAGAAGTATGTTGTGAAGACTCACAGCAAAAAGGATGGATGCAGAAAGTCTACAAACCATACAATTTGAAAATATATTTCTCATTCTAAATCCAGATTTAAATTTTCCACTGTATCAGTCAAGTGGCCAGAGGAGGTGCGCTTCCATAGAAACAAACCTTGGAGTGGGGAAATGTTTCATTCAGGGTTTCATATTTCAGGCAGGCTGGGAAAATGCCCCCCTCCCCTGACACCATGCTGTGCAGTGCTAGGGTTGTCCACTTATCTGATGCTGACATCTCTTTGCTAAAGATTTTATATTTAGACTATAAGTAAATTTGATGTTTCATATATGCTAATCAAATTAATCCCTTTAGTCATCAAAATATGAAGTGAAAGAGTTGTTGGACATTTACTATAAGGCACATGTTAATTCTAGTAGTAAATTCCAAAGTTAACCTTTGACATCGCCAGGCTCTTGCCAGGCACCCATAGCTGTTACAGCCTTGTCACTCACAGGCTGATGACATCTTCACTGCTGAGGGGCAGCAAATGGGAGACTATTTGGCAAACCCACATGGTTTTGGGAGGTTTGCGCCCCGGCCTTTAATAAGAAAGGTGAATTGCTAAACAAGAGACCATAAAAATCACTGCAAGCTTTCTTGCCCTGCTTATACTTCTAACTTTGTAAACATTTCTCCCACATCTGGAGAACTCTCCTTCTAGAAAGTCTTACCTGACAGAGCAGCATCAGTTTAGCATCAGATTCTGGGTTGTGATTGTAGCTGTAACCATGACTTTTGGCAAATGTGTCGGCAAAATAAATTCCCTGCAAATACAAACACAATATCCTAGAACTACACCATAAATCTTGCTTTTCTTATGCATTCCACCTCTAAATACCCTTCAAAGATTTGATACACCATCATGTTTATATTTTACTCCAATATATCAAAGCTAAGCTGATAAAATCGCACAACACAAAACTCCAAAATAACTCAGTTATGACAATCATACACCACCTGAGGAACATTCATCATGTTAGTTATATACAATGGATGCTACGAGCTATTGAGTATGCTTTACCTCTCCAAACAGGTGCCCTGTGTGGGGGGCCTCGGGTGGGGCAACAAGTAAGCCCCTGCTGAGGATGCTGATGAAGTTGCTCATGCTGCTGCCATGCCACAGTAGGCTGTGGTTGCTCATGTTGAGGGAACGTAGCTGTTCCTCCTCGCCCCGGTCGAGACAGTTTGTAGATACTGTGAACCTTACTGCTTTGATCTGGAAGATGTCACACCGTCAATAAATCACTAGTAATAAAACTGTACACAACGGCCATGTGTACTGACGTATGTGAGGTTGGTAAGGGACTACTTACGTGATGAGTTGATGTATGTGAGGATGTTGAGAGACTACTTATGTGATGAGTTGATGTATGTGAAGATGTTGAGAGATACTACTTGCGTGATGAGTTGATGTAAGTGAGGATGTATGTGAGAGGGACTACTTACGTGATGAGTTGATGTATGTGAAGTTGGTAAGATGTTAGAGACCACTTACGGAGAGACTACTTACGTGATGAGTTGATGTATGTGAGGATGTTGAGAGACTACTTACGTGATGAGTTGATGTATGTGAGGATGTTGAGAGACTACTTACGTGATGAGTTGATGTAAGTGAGGATGTTGAGAGACTACTTACGTGATGAGTTAATGTATGTGAAGATTGTTGAGGACTACTAGTTGTGATGAGTTGATGTAAGTGAGATGTTGAGAGACTACTTACGTGATGAGTTGATGTAATGTGAGGATGTTAAGGGACTGATGTATGTGATGAGTTGATGTTATGTGAGGATGTTGAGACTACTTACGTGATGAGTTGATGTATGTGAAGATGTTGAGAGACTACTTACGTGATGAGTTGATGTATGTGAGGATGTTGAGAGACTACTTACATGATGAGTTGATGTATGTGAGGATGTTGAGAGACTACTTACGTGATGAGTTGATGTATGTGAGGATGTTGAGACTACTTACGTGATGAGTTGATGTATGTGAGGATGTTGAGAGACTACTTACGTGATGAGTTGATGTATGTGAGGATGTTGAGAGACTACTTACGTGATGAGTTGATGTATGTGAGGATGTTGAGAGACTACTTACGTGATGAGTTGATGTATGTGAAGATGTTGAGAGACTACTTACGTGATGAGTTGATGTATGTGAAGATGTTGAGAGACTACTTACGTGATGAGTTGATGTAAGTGAGGATGTTGAGAGACTACTACTGTGATGAGTTGATGTATGTGAGGATGTTGAGAGACTACTTACATGTGATGAGTTGATGTATGTGAGGATGTTGAGAGACTACTTACGTGATGAGTTGATGTATGTGAAGATGTTGAGAGACTACTTACGTGATGAGTTGATGTAAGTGAGGATGTTGAGAGACTACTTATGTGATGAGTTGATGTATGTGAGGATGTTGAGAGACTACTACTTGTGATGAGTTGATGAGTTGATGTAAGTGAGGATGTTGAGAGACTACTTACGTGATGAGTTGATGTATGTGAGGATGTTGAGAGACTACTTACGTGATGAGTTGATGTATGTGAGGATGTTGAGAGACTACTTACATGATGAGTTGATGTATGTGAGGATGTTGAGAGACTACTTACATGATGAGTTGATGTATGTGAGGATGTTGAGACTACTTACGTGATGAGTTGATGTATGTAAAAATGTTGAGAGACTACTTACGTGATGAGTTGATGTATGTGAGGATGTTGAGGGACTACTTACATGATGAGTTGATGTATGTGAGGATGTAGAGGACTACGATGAGTTGATGTACGTGATGAGTTGATGTATGTGAGGATGTTGAGGGACTACTTACTACTGATGAGTGAGTTGATGTAAGTGAGGATGTTGAGAGACTACTTACGTGATGAGTTGATGTATGTGAGGATGTTGAGGGACTACTTACGTGATGAGTTGATGTATGTGAGGATGTTGAGAGACTACTTACGTGATGAGTTGATGTATGTGAGGATGTTGAGGGACTACTTACATGATGAGTTGATGTATGTGAGGATGTTGAGAGACTACTTACGTGATGAGTTGATGTATGTGAGGATGTTGAGAGACTACTTACGTGATGAGTTGATGTAAGTGAGGATGTAGAGGGACTACTACATTGATTAATGTATGTATGAGGATGGTGAGGGACTACTTACGTGATGAGTTGATGTAAGTGAGGATGTTGAGAGACTACTTACGTGATGAGTTGATGTAAGTGAGGATGTTGAGGGACTACTTACGTGATGAGTTGATGTAAGTGAGGATGTTGAGAGACTACTTACGTGATGAGTTGATGTAAGTGAGGATGTTGAGGACTACTTACGTGATGAGTTGATGTATGTGAGGATGTAGAGGGACTACTTACGTGATGAGTTGATGTATGTGAGGATGTAGAGAGACTACTACATTGATGAGTTGATGTAAGTGAGGATGTAGAGGGACTACTTACGTGATGAGTTGATGTAAGTGAGGATGTAGAGGGACTACTTACGTGACGAGTTGATGTAAGTGAGGATGTTGAAGGGCTACTTACGTGATGAGTTGATGTATGTGAGGATGTACTGTGATTCTAGAGTATCAGGAGACAATGGTTCGATCTGGCATCCCACAGATCGGTAGATGTAGTCCAATGGATTCATATCTGCAGACACAAGTTGTTCAGTTATCAAACACTATTATCATCAAACACATATGGTGAAATCTAGGACTGAGTGAGTATGGTTTTACACCACTTTTTAGCAATATTCCAGCAATATCACGGCGGGGGACACAAGAAATGGTTGAAAGCTAGGATGTACTTCAGGACCATCAGGCAAAAAAGGATACGATCTCTTTGTGAAACTGGGCTGTACAAACCATTCACCAAATTAGTTCTAACTGAACAACAGCCTGACAACAACCATACATACTAGTAAAAGTTAAAGACCACAAAACTATTTTCATATGGCTCTGCCATTTCATCACAGATTAACTTAACTCTTTAAAGAAATCTTGTGTTAACTAACTTCTCCCTCTCCCTTGAAATCTCAAGTCTAGACTGACTGACTGACTGAGTTTGGTTTTACGCCGCTTTTAGCAATATGCCAGCAACATTACGGCAGGGCACACCAGAAATGGGCTTCACACATTGTACCCATGTGGGGATTCGAACCCGGGTCTTCGGCGTGATGAGACAACGCTTTAACCATTAGGCTACCCCAAGTCTAGAACTATAATAGCATTAACAGGAGTATTATTGACAGTGTCCTTACCCTTCACATGTTGTTGAGATCCAAGAACAATCCTGCTGGCAATTTCAATGTCCAGCATGTCCGAGAGGAAACGAAGACAAGTCTTCAATCTTTCCTTCTTTTTAATTGGTTTGATTGCCTCATATTCAAAGCCTGGAGATGGGACAAGATTGTAGTACTCGTTTGTCAAAGACGCTATCTGTAAGTAAAGGAGTAAGTTGAGTACAGTTGTGAACAGGTTTCTTTTTATCTGAGCGTCAGACCAAGATGATTAATAAAGTACATGTCTTATCATGCAATGTTAATATCTCTATATTGATTCAGTATGGAAGAACTTCCTCACCTTGTCACAGTTGTCCTGGAAGGCAGCCATGTCGTTGTTAGCGTTGTTCCTCCTCTGCTTGTCTATTGCCTGTATCAACTCACTGCAATCAGAAGTCACTTGAATCACCATTTAAGTGAGTGAGTGAGTGAGTTTAGCTTTACGCCGCACTCAGCAATATTCCAGCTATATGATGGAGGTCTGTAAATAATCTAGTCTGCACCTGACAATCCAGTGCTCAACAAGCATTGATCTATGTAACTGGGATACAATGACATGATTCAACCAAGCCAGCGAACCTGACTACCCGATCCCGTTAGTCGTCTCTTACAACAAGCATGAGTTACTGAAGACCAATTTTAATCCGGATCTTCACAGGTACGTGTCTGATAACTGGTGACACTCACCTCAACTGAGTTAGGATGGACCTAGCCTCGAGAAGGGCCTCCCTCTTGATGCGGCCAAAGGGCATATAATTTGTGTCCACCCCAGCCTTCAACACCGAGTTCTGCAACATCGTCTGGTTGCTCTGAAGCAAAAACAAATATACGGAATTATAAGGTGAGGTGAGGTGAAATTGGGTTTCACGTCGTACTTGAGAATATTTTGCTCATATGACGACGTGCATGCATGTATGTGCGGCTGCTTGTACTAGCCCAGACTGAAGCTGGTTTTATAGTGCTAGCCCACTGAGATACCATGCCGCAGTGAAGCATGACTACCCCACTCAGACACATTATACTGACTCCGAGCAGACCAGTCCTTGTTGTACCCATTAATGCCGAGAGCCAGACAGAGACCAACAAGTACCATATTTTAACGTCTTTTGGTATGACGCGAGCCCGGGGATCGAACTCGCGACCTTCCGCTCTCCGGAATTATAAGGGTGACTATTGGGGCTATTGTGACTATTACAATTACACTGCAATAGTACCCCACACTATAGAAAGTACTGGGTTAGATGTACACTATGGCAATAGTATTGTTACATCATTCAAACTAACTTTAAGGCTTGATAACTATATCAATCAACAAAATAGTAATGAGTGATGTATTGCCGACAAAGTCAAAGTGTGCACTCAGCAATATTCCAGCTATATGCTGGGGTCTGTAAATAATCAAGTCTTGACCAGACAATCCAGTGATCAATAGCATGAACATCGAACACACTATCTGCCAAGTCTGACCACCCAATAAGTAAGTCTAAACACACGCCAAACACTAGGCAACCCCATCACAAACAATGACAGCAATGCTCTATCCAGTTTATCAAAGGAAATGTTTTACCCTTGTTGGCTACTCACCGACTGATATAACCTGTGACAATTTGGATCCTAAACAAAACACTGCCAACAAGATGTGACTTACCACTTCTTTCATAAGGTCTTGGATGGGAAGGGGAAGTTTGGAGGGAATCTCAGAATTCAGTGTAAAGTCGACCGACTTGACTTTGGTATACTTCTGCTCTCTTGGCACAAGGCGGTACTTCTTTGGATGGTTTACATAGCTGTACACAAAGGAGAAGTCATTGTTATGGAAGAGTGAGAGAGTGAGTATGGTTTTCACGTGCGATGGGCGGATGCTTCATTGTTATTGAGAGAGAGTGAGTTGGGTGTTACACCACTTTTAGCAATATTGCAGCAATATCTAGGCAGGGAACAAAAGGAATTGTACCCACTGGGGAATCGAATCCGGGCCTTAACGTGACGAGCGAACGCCTTAACCACAAGGCCAAACCACCCCACCCCCCCCATTATTGAAGAGATCTGACACAGTGAAACAAGTCTATCATACAATACATCACAATACCACTCTATCACAGTACTTAATATTGAAAAGAATTCCTCAGGAAGAATGTTTTCACTTTTTCTCACGACAGATACTTTACAACACGTAAGAACCACTTGATTCTCTCACATCATTATAGTTAATCTGTCACTGTCATGGCATCAATAGTAACTATGGTAACATGAAACAAAATGGTGGTCCCAGACTAATCTTCAGTAGTATATTCAGAAAACTATAACCTGTCGATCCTTCCATCAGCAATACACATTTCTACTTGTTTCTTTCAGAATTCAGCCCAGTCTAATATTCCCTTCATCATTGTTTGATAGCTACTGCAATATGTAACACTTAAGATGCATGAATATAGAGCGATTGAGTTTGGTTTTACGCCGCTTTTAGCAATATTCCAGCAATATCACACGGCAGGGGACACCAGAAATGGGCTCCACACATTATACCCATGTGGGGAATCGAACCCGGGTCTTCGGCGTGACGAGCGAATGCTTTAACCACTAGGCTACTCCACCGCCCCACGAATAATGAACTGCTGAAACAGCAAAGCATAAAGTTAAACACCTACGATTTGACATTAGCCCAGTCATTGCCAGTTTTGGAGCGGAAAACTTTACAGAACTCCTTCACTCCATCTTCTTTCTTTGGGAAGGGTGTGTGTTGAAACTGGCCTTCGTCGCCGATACGGCCCCATCTTGTGAACAGCAAATAAATATCCTTTCCTTTCTGGTAGACCAACTGAAACATGATTGACATTTTGACATTACAGCCTTGTCAAAGAAACCCATCAGGCCAATCAATAGATCTACATCAATCAACTAGGAATATCACTTCCTGTGTGAGTGTAGGTTTTCTTAAGATACTGGTACTGTAACTGTCTAGGACTGACAGACTGACTGAGTTTTAGTTTTACGCCGCTTTTAGCAATATTCCAGCAATATCACGGCGGGGGACACCAGAAATGGGCTTAACACATTGTGCCCATGTGGGGAATCGAACCCGGGTCTTCGGCGTGACGAGCCAACGCTTTAACCACTAGGCTACCCCACCGCCCCGTAACTGTCTAGGAAGAAGTGAGTGAGTGAGTGAGTGAGTGAGGTGAGTTTTACGCCGCTTTAAGCAATATTCCAGCAATATCATGGCTGGGGACACCAGAAATGGGCTTCACACATTGAACCCATGTAGGGAATCGAACCCAGGTATTCGGTGTGACGAGCAGACGCTTTAACCAATAGGATACCCGACCACCCAGTCTAGGAAAGATATCCTGTGGTATTCCATGGTTCGTACAAATTATCAGCCATCAAATGCAGAGCCTTTTTAGGGCCATTCAGAGTGAGTGAGTGAGTGAGTGAGTGAGTGAGTGAGTTTAGCTTTACGCCGCTTTTAGCAATATTCCAGCTATATCATGGCAGGGGACACCAGAAATGGGCTTCACATATTGTATCCATGTGAAGAAACGAACCCGGGTCTTCGGCATGACGAACGGACGCTTTAACCACTACGCTACCCAACCGCTCCAGGGCCATTCAGAACACAGTGAGTTTGCAAGTGAGCATGGTTGGCAGGACACTGTCCACTGGAGAGAACTGCCTTCCATGTTAACAGCTGGGTATGCCTGAGAGCAGGTCGAACCTGATCCACACCAGCTAAGAAGCGCTGCATAAGAGGGTGCTGCCCCAGAAGAGCACCATCGACAGGGGTGTGAAATTTGGAAATAGTGGTGGAGTAGCCACGAATGGTTGAAGCCGCCAAACCTTCTTCCAAACGAGACTGCAGAAACTCCAAAAATCGGACTAAATCCGCAGAAAAGGGATCTGCAATTCCCCTATCTGAACACCAGCGAGCATAGCGGGACCACCTATCCTCGTACTGAACGCTTGTCGAATCCCGCCTCGAAGCCAGAATTGTGTCTGCAACTGCTGCAGGATTTCCGCGTGCCTCGAGGCTAGACCTGACAGAGGCCAAGCCACCCACTGAATCCTTGGATTGGGGTGTGGCGCACCGTTCTGAGTGAGAATGTCCGGTCCGGTATTTTATTAAAACATTGATACAACTATCACATGACATTTTCAGCAGTAGAAAATGCATATATGTACCGAAAGGACGATCTCTATGAAAAAGAATTCACACATTGTACCATGTGGGAAATCTAACACAGGTCTTCAGCATGACGAGCAGAAACTTTAACCATTAGGATGCCTAACCACCCTTCCACAACACAGTGTCATGTCTCCTCACCTGCATCTTGTAGAAGTTGTACATGCCATAATAACCGTAGGACACATCCACCTTTGACAACAAGACATCGTACGGAATGTGCTGCTTGCTGTCCTCAGCCACCTCACTGAAACAAGAAAAGCATCACTTTAAATTTTGTTCATGACATTGTCATGTTTGTTTGCTTATTTATGCCCCACTGTTAGTTTGCCTATCCCGCACTAGACAAGGTGAGGTGAGGTGAAGTTGGGTTTACCCCGCTTCCCACTTTGGGCTTGAGAATATTTCGCTCATATGACGACGTGCATGCGTACGGTAATAATTTATGTGTGTGCGGCTGCTTGTACTAGCCCAGTGCGTAAGCTGGTTTTATAGTGCTAGCTCACTGGCATACCTGTGGAGTCATGATTGCCGCGTATTAAGTTTGGTGAAGCATGAATACCCCCGATGATATTATACACCTCAAATACATTTTGCATGTACCTAGCATGTAGCATGTGAAGCTTTAAGAGATATGCTCTGGACAAAATAATCAAACACATTTGGCACTAAGTCATGTTTCCATGGAAACAAATAGCACAATTCCATCTGAGAGACCAACAAGTAGCATAGTTTGGAAGCTCTTTCGGACAAGATGACATCCTCATTTACAGCCAGTAGGTGTTTCCATGGTATCTGCGAGGCACATAAATGGGAATGATTAACCAGTGAACCTTGTTAAAGAGCAGCTCTGGACAAAATTAATTTGGCACTAAGTGGAGTGTTTCCCATGGCAGAGATCTAAACAAAAGTACCATCATGCTTAATACAGTGGAACTAGCATATAAACTTTAAAGAGATATGCTCCGCAAAGTTTACACTGAGCCGCTATATACCCCGTTGGCGGGGGTAAAATAATCCTGTGTGGACCAGATAATCCAGTGACTGACATCATGAGCATCAGTTGATGCATCAAAACATGATGCCATGCATGCATCAACCGAGTCAGCAAGGTTTGACCACCTGATTCTAATTTGCCATCTGTTTTGAGAATGCTTTGAATCAATACATTTCAAACAGGAACTTTAGTCTGATATCTCAACATAAATAATCAGCAGTCCCTAATACATGCCTGAGTGACTATCAACATAAGTTGCTGTCAATATTTTAGGAAATGGCCAACAAATTAAAACTTGGTCCATATCCGATTATATATGGTAGGTCACAAGTTACTGCTTTCACTTAGCATACAATCCAAAGATCGTGTGGAATACAAAATACGAGCATACAACAAAGTTTTGTCCACCTGAGCAAGTGAACTCTCCAAAATGAGCAAGTGAGAAAGTATGGTTTTATGCCGCTTTTACCAACATTCCAGCATTATCAAAGTCAGGGACACCATAAATGGGCTTCACACATTGTACCCATGATTGAATAGAACACAGGTCTTCAGCGTGACGAGCGAACGCTTTAACCATTCGGCTACCCAACCTCCCCTCTCGAAAATGAACCCAGTCCGCCACTTACCAGGTGTCCCTGTTAAGACAATGGGTATCAACAGGGGTCCGTGAGTCATCCTCGTCCATGGCTTCAGCTTTGAGTTTGTCCATGACTTTCTCATAATCAGCTTGGTAGTTGACCTTGACCCCGTCACTGAGGATTCCATCACTGACTTCAAATGATGTGAAAGTGGCCTTTTCCTATAAAACAATAAATCCATATTATACAACTTAATTGGCAGGATAATCATATATCAAATACTGTTACAATTACAAATCTTAAGGTACATTAACAAGCATTCGAGACTAACAACATCACTTAAATAGAAAACAAACTGATAATATAGGCTTCACTTGTTTCAAATTTGAAATCCTACTGCAAGTACAAATATTGTAATGGATTTGGTAATTGAAGACACATGTAAGAAAATAGTATGGCCACACACAATTATCATGGAGGTTTTCAACACTGAAACATCAGCTTAAAGAATAAGTAAACATGATAAAGTTTATGAGCATGTGCAATCAAATAGCATCAATAACATGCCAGAAAATCGGAATTAGGTATCAAGTTGGCAGTGTTGGACCTCTCAGCTTCATTACTGAGAATTCCCAGGACTGACTGACTGACTGAGTTTGGCTTTACGACGCTTTAAGCAATATTCCAGCAACATCACGGCGGGGGACACCAGAAATGGGCTTCACACATTGTACCCACGTGGGAATTCGAACCCGGGTCTTCGGCGTGACGAGCCAACACTTTAACCACTAGGCTACCCCACTGCCCTGAGAATTCCCAGGACTTGTAACTAGGCAGACAAGAACATAACAGAAACTGTATATTCTTACCTCTTTTTCTGACTTTAACAACTTCTGCAACTCGGTTGCAATATTTGGAGCTCCTCGAATGAGTGCATAATCAAGGGGAGTTAAGCCTGCGTTATCCTTCTTATCAAGCGTAGCTCCCGCTTGAGCTAGGGTACACAACAGTTCAACTTGATCGAATGTGCCGAGTTCCAACGGGGACACAAGATGGTGTATGACAGTCCAGCCCTGGTTGTCTGTAGCGTCCAGGTCTACACTGCTTGTCTTCTCCACCATTTTAACTGCAACATCAACAAATGCACACATAAGCCACAGTAGCCAGTAATGATGATGATGATCATGACAAACTATAAGGACAACGGGGGAAAACTACGTTCTATGGATAGTCAGCTTCTTTATTGCAAAGAGTGCGACATTTCGGTGTAGGTACTAACACCGTTATCAAGCAAGTGATATCAAGCAAGTCACTTGCTTGATAACAGTGTTAGTACCTACACCGAAACGTCGCACTCATTGCAATAAAGAAGTTGACTATCCATAGAACTTTGTTTTCCTTCATCCTCACAACTTCTAAAATGCCTCTCAAAGAAATAACGACAACCTTTCAGAAGTTTACTTACTGTGATTTGACCAGGATCAGGAAAATAGGCTTGATAGTGAGTGAGTGAGTTGAGTTTATTGCGACTCCACATTCCAGCGATATGGCAGCGGTCTGTAAATAATTGAGTCTGGACCAGACAATCCAGTGATCAACAGCAGGAGCATCGATCTGCAGAATTAGGAACCGATGACATGTGTCAACCAAGTCAGTGAGCCTGACCACCCGATCCCGTTAGTTGCCTCTTACGACAAGCATGGGTTACTGAAGATCAATATTCTAACCCGGACCTACACAGGTCAAATAGGTGATAGTTGTATTAAGGGCAAATTCTCAATTGCTATGCAGAGATGCCAACCCCAAATTGTGGCAATTAGGAATCTGAGTTTCTAAGAGAGAAAAAAAATAGGAATTTTCCCAACAAATTAGGGATCCCTATAAATTGTTGTACTCAAAGAACGAAACTTTTCAATGCCATTACATATAGTGATCCTGGAAACCGGGTTTATATAACTGAAACCGGTTTGCAGTACTTTCTTGTGTAAACAATTTGAGAAGCAATAAAGTTTGTGAATGTTAAAGTAAATAAGCTGCGATCAGGGTAAAATAAACAGTGTGTGGAATTTATCAGGCAGCCTACTCAACTTTGAATTACTTTCTTGTGTAAACAATTTGAGAACTTCTGTAAATAAAGTTTTCTATCTATTTATCATTATTTCAAGTCAAAGTTGATAATAGCCATTATCTATATCTTTGTTATATTTTGAAAAAAATCGGACTGAATTTGGCTTTGTCTGAATGGCGGAACCGACATGCATTTTCCAGATGATTCCGATGAATTCGGGAGGGTTGGCATCTCTAGGTATGGTTTGACAATTATGACATATATTTTCTACCCATTAGGAGACTGAAACATAAAACATATCAATACAGGGACTCTAACTAACACTAGCAGAAAACCTATAAGAAGTGCCTGCATGAGTATGTGTGTTTAATATACTGCTTACAAAGTTCTTCCAGTTTTACCACTGCACATCAACTTAATAGAGTGGAGGGTCTGAAGGGGAAGGGTCAAGATGTTTAGCACATCAGGAAGCTACAAGGATGCGGGTGGTGTTGACTAACATAATCAGGGCAAACAGGGATTCCAATCTACAACCATAGGTTACTAGTACGACCAAGGGACATAACTCTGCCCAGAGAATTGCCACCCAATAACAGGTCGAATGAACATGGTAGGCTTCAATCATGTTAATGTTTTGTTAATGATTAGTTAGAAATCATTCTTATTTTCACACACCTGAAGAAATATCTGGTGGAAAACACTACCTAGCTGTAGAACTGGTAATCAATGAAAGAAAGTCCATGAAATACGCACGTCTTGGACAAACAGACTTCATTTGAATACCCAAAGAATTCATGCCCTACCTTTTCTGGCCAGGCTGCTTCCTTGTTTCCTCAGAGATAACTGCTTGCAGAGGACTGAAGTCTTCTCGACTTCAGGTTCCTCTTCATCTTCCACAACATCCGTGTCATGATCACTGTCCTCTGCCACTTCTTCATCCTCAAACATATCCTCTGGTTCTCCCTCTTCATCTTCCTCAGCTTCTAGTTCTTTATCCAAGTCCATCGGTTTAACAGAACTGCCACACACAACTCCCATCCTGGCTTCTACTCTCACTGCCATTGCCCAACTGTCTGACACCTTCAGGTGTCAATGACATGGAACCGTCCGGTCGCAACATGAACACAGTCCGAGACACACTCTTAAACAAAGTGGGCTCTTTGTTGACGTTATCTGATTGTGGAGCTTTTGGGTCATAGGATAAGTTCATTAACAACTTTGTCATCGCAGATTGATCCGCCACTTGTCCATCGTTCTGAAAGTCTCATAATCAGCAAAAAGAATGGTCATGTCAGAGGACTCCTATAAACAATAAATAGGGACTGTTTAGTTTGTTAACAGAAAACCTCGCATCAACTTCTCATTCTACTTTATTCCACCTATATACTATTTGTAAGCATAAACTAAAGGGTGACATGTTCATAGTGACTGTGTCAGAGGACTTACTTGTCTTGTAGCATGCATGAGGGGAGAGACTGTGTCAGAGGACTTACTTGTCTTGCAGCATGCATGAGTGGAGTGCGCCTGTTGCTGTCGTCAAAGTTTGGTGATGCACCGTTGTTGAGCATGAAGCTGGCCAAGCCAAACTTGAAGTAATGTATCGCCAGGATGAGGGGCGACACCAGCAGATCACTCTTGTCAGTAAAGTAGTCTGGACATCTGTCAGCCAAACAGGAACCCAGCAGGAGGGAGTCAGGAAGGGGGCAGTTTAATCGCACATCAAATGATGCTCCCTTGTCCAACAGTATCTTTAACCACCTGAATTGCAGAAATAACATCAAATTACGAAAGGGAGTGAGTTGGCCTGAACATTGAACAAAAATTCAGTACAATAGGCACCTTAAATGTTTAAGGTGAGTGAGTGAGTGAGTGAGTATTGTTTTACACCGCTTTTAGCAATAGTCCAGAAATATCATGGTGGGAACACCTGAAATGGGCTTCACACATTGTACCCAAGTGGGGAATGGAACCTGGATCTTCTCCGTGACGAGTTAACGCTTTAACCACTAGGCTATCTCACCGCCCCACTCCTATGGATAGCATATGTTCCTGGGTGCCTAGTTCAATCTGGAATCTCCAAAGTGTTCCTCTACTCTACAAAGGATGCAAGATTTCACAATCAAATGAAACAGCTCATCTTGGTAGATTCAGCAGAGAACGCTTACTTTGTATTGACATCACAGATGTTCCACGTGTAGGCCGACATCACATCTCTGCCGAACTCATCCTTGTTCTTCACATCCAGGGCAGGGTCGTTGTCTACACAGACAGACACAGGCATTCATGAAGAGAGACTTTCAAAGGAGTTTGAGTGAACGGTGCATTATGCTGCAGGCAGCAATACTCCTGCTATAACAAGGCAGTTATCAAGTATGTGCCAGTCAAACACGCATGAGCAGCAGGGGTAAGATCAGCCACAACACATAGTAATAAGTCACCATCAATAGTCATTTTAGACAGATCATATAGCAAGGTACACTGGTGACTCATGCTCCCAAAAACCATACACAGTAAAGAAGATTTTTTTTTTTCCCAAGCAAATTTACAGAAAAATTTCTTTTGGTATTACTCATCTTTGTTTTGGGTTTAACGCCGCACACAGCAATATTTCAGCTATGGGGCGACAGATTACAAATAAGTGAGTCTGGACCAGACAATCCAGTGATCAACAGCATGAGCATCATTCATCATTGGGAGTGAGTGAGTGAGTTTAGTTTTACGCCGCACTCGGCAATATCCCAGCTATATGGCGGCGGTCTGTAAATAATCGAGTCTGGACCAGATAATCCAGTGATCAACAGCACCCTGATCCCGTTAGTCTATGCAATTGGGAAACGATGATGTGTGTCAACCAGGTGAGCGGGCCTGACCACCAGGACCTGTCAGTCATCTCTTATGACAAGCATGGGCTGTTAAGATCAATTCTAACCCATATCTTCACAGGTCACAGGAATTTTAAAAACAGCATATAATCAAGCATGGTGAAGTCAGATCATATCAATAATTCCTTAAAACATAATTCGCATTGGCTGTGCTGTGAAGACATTACAATGTGGACTTACCAATCAAAAACTGTCCCATTTGAACTGGCAAGTGGTGAATGGCTGCGTACTGCAGTGGAGTACAGCCATGTTTGTCACGCAGCCCCACGGGTACACCTTTGTCACGCAACATTTTCGCTACCTGGTTCGTGAAGGAATACATTATGACATAAAGATAGGAACATTTACCAAGTTTGTTACCCTTTTAAAGATAAGGATACTTCTGAACCATCTCAAACTGGGCTACATATTAAGTGGCTGTAATCAAACAGGTGTGCTTAAATCTTTTGCATCCAGATTGATACTATCATGTTGAATTTCTGTGTCACAGTCCTTTTAGCACTATCACACGAGGAATTTTAAAACAACCATTACAGCAGTAAATTATCTTGTTGAGCCTTACTCTGAACTAAACATGACATACTTTCACAAGTCACTGTCTTCTATCACTGTCTTTAGAATCACGGTATTGTTAAGGTTATACAACATCTTTCAAGTATTAAAAGGGTCAGCACTTCCAAATAAATCCTGATCCCGAAGAGAATTTCCTTTCAACATTTTGGTGGAACGAAATCACCATGTTTCGTTTTACTTTTACACAAGCCAGATAACTAATCTCACATCTGCAAAGGGCAGGTCTTACCTTCACACACAGTAAACCTGTTGTAGGCATCCTTTATCAACGCTCGCCTTTCGAGCATGGGTGGGCAACAGTGAGTGAGTGAGTTAAGTTTTACGCCGCTTTTAACAATATTCCAGCTATATCACGGCGGGAGACACCAGAAATGGGCTTCACTCATTGTACCCATGCGGGGAATCGAACCCGGTTCTTCGGCGTGATGAGCGAATGCTTTAACCACTAGGCTACCCCACTGCCCCGAGTGGGCAACAGAGGCACTGCACTCACCTTGAGCTGTGCATCCAGATTGGACGAGGCTTTCGTCTTCAAGATGAGCATGTGGAACAGATTCCTGCCTTCTTCATTGATTGCCTGAAGTCGACTTGGCTCAGGGATCCTCTTTATCAACCGCAAAGCGATATTGTACTTCGCTTCAGTGAAGGCAGCCTGTGAAATTGTTTGTAAAGCAAATAAATGACTGATCCCTTCACATGTGTACTCCTATGGACTGACTGACTGAGCTTGGTTTTACGCCGTTTTTAGCAATATTCCAGCAATATCACGGCCGGGGACACCAGAAATGGACTTCACAAATTGTACCCATGTGGGGATTCGAACCCAGGCCTTCGGCGTGATGAGCGAACACTGTACTCCTATGGAAGTACACGGAGGAAAAAGATAGAGAACTGACATTAAAGAAAGCATGTTTGTGTCATATGTTATAGGTATATATTTTTATATTTTGACGATGGCAGCAAACTAACTTCTATGCAGCAAATTTTTTTTTCACACAAATGGAAGAAATAAAGTACATGCAGGAAAATGATTCAAGTATGGTACACACATCAGGTGAGGTGAGGTGAAATTTGGTTTTACGTCGTGCTTGAGAATATTTTGCTCATATGACGACGTGCATGCATGTGTATGTGTATGTGCGGGCTGCTTGTACTAGCCCAGACTTAAGCTGGTCTTATAGTGCTAGCCCACTGAGATACCATGCCGCAGTGAAGCATGAATACCCCACTCAGACACATTATACTGACTCCGAGCCAACCAGTCCTTGTTGTACCCATTAATGCCGAGAGCCAGGCAGGGACCAACAAGTACCATATTTTAACGTCTTTTTGGTATGACGCGGTCGGGGATCGCATCCACGACCTTCCGCTCTAACCACTACACCACGGAGGCAGTCACACACCATCAGACACCCCTACACTGTTCATGAGTGAGCATGGTTTTACGCCACTTTTAGCAATATTCCAGCAATATCACCATGGGGAAACACCAGAAATGGGCTTCACACATTGTATCCACATGGGGAACCGAACCCGTGGTTTCGGCTTGACAATGGAATGTTCTAACCACTAGTCTACACCACTATCCCGTTCTCCTCCTGATTCGGTCACCAGTCCAAGCCTGTGTGGGAGATGTTAACTGGTGTACTTACCTCCACGGCTGAGAAGTCAATGCCATTGATCTCCAGTATCATGTGAGACACACCCTGAAGCTCGTGCCGGAGAGATCCCTGAAATATGAAACCATATTCATTGCAGAGGGAAAACCCAAAGTGATGCAGTTCTCAAATATTTTGGCGGAAACCACAAGCACAAGTCAAATCCTTACAAACCCTGATCAGACAACCTTTTTGTTTGTTAAAAGACAGAACATGTTGCAGTCACTACTTTAACATATATTTAAACAAGAGTCATCAGAAGATGACAAATACTCCCCCCCAATTTGAATGATCAAATCATCTGAAAAATAAAAATGACAAAAATCTGAAAGATATTGAATGGTTTTCGAGTTGTGCTTCGGTAATGAAGTCCAATCCACCTTTTGAGACAAATTCCAACACGTTTCCATGGAAACGAAGATAAATAAGGTTTTGTTTGATATATCTACCAATTTTTGTTGATAGACAGTGAACGGTTTTCGAGTTATGCTCCAGAAACAAAATTATTATGAACAACGGCCAGAGGAGGCATCGACTATATTCCCCCGCATTTCATGCTTTGGGGAAAGGAGGAGAGAGAGAGAGAGAGAGAGAGAGAGGAGAGAGAGAGAGAGAGAGAGAGAGAGAAGAGAGAGAGAGAGAGAAAGAGAGAGAAAGGAGAGGAAAAGAAATTAAAATCTTGGAAAGGAGGGAGCGTGAAATATTTTCCAAAACACATTCCGCACTCTAACAATATGACATGGACTTTCACTAAAACCGTGATGGTCCGAAGGCAAACTACTGACCTGGAACACAGGGTACACAACCTTCTCTGGTTTGACGACCTTCTCCCACTTGGTGAGAGGCCTCCAGGTCATCACAGGGCGCTGCTTCTTCTTGTCGTTGTCAGTTTTAGCCTTTTCCTCAGCCGGAGGGATAACAATAAAATCTCGCACACTATCACAACGCTGGATCAGCATGATGGCACAACTGGAAAACAAAGTACACACATTTAGCAACTGTTGTTTCAGTAGAGTTTGTAACAAAACGGGCCCTATAATGAGAACCAAGTTAAGGGCATACGAGGGTTATTGCATGCATACATTTATTAGGGTAGGTCGTCTGCACATGACGGCGAAAACAAAATGATTATGACTTCAGTAGGGAGTGACATGATCAGCCAAGGCAAGATGCATGTTTCATAAGCACTAATTGTGGTTGGTTGGTTGTTTGTTTAACACCACACTCACTAACTTCCAGCTATATGGCGGCGGTCTGTAAATAATCAAGTCTGGACCAGACAATCCGGTGATCAACAGCATGAACATCAATCTGCGCAATTGGGTTACGGTGACATGTGTCAACCAAGTCAGCGAGCCTGACTACCCGATCACATCTGTCGCCTCTTGTGACAAGCATGAGTCGCTGAAGACCAAATCTAATCCAAATCTTCATGGGTCCATTCTTTTCATGAAGATAAATACCTGGGCCCTTATTCTCGGAAAGTTCGTAGCCCTAAGAATTCTTAACTTTGATCGTAGCCAATGTGTTAAGAATGGGCTTAAGAAGTTCGTAGGGCTACAAACGTTTCGAGAATAGCTAGCCTGATCTGTAGTATAAGAATTCAACTGCAATTCAGACTGCCCAACTATGTAAAAATTATTGCAATATTATGATATGTAATGTTACCTTGCCATCAGAGATAGATAAGGTATTGTGACAGTCACTCACTTTCAACTAAGAGGCTATACTCACCTTTCATGCTGATGTTTCACTGCTAACGACAATGGGGTGTTACCGCTGTGATCTTTTTTCCCTATCTCTGCCTTTCTCTGTAAGTACAAGATCATGAATCAGCATCCAAAGGCGGCAACAACAAGAAGACATGGCCATCAATATCCCCCGCCACAGTGTTCTGTTTCTATTTGGTTCCTGTTTTTTAACTCCACTACAACATTCAAGTCCTGAAAACACATACCACATTTGTTTTACTGAAAAAATCTGTCCCCATTGGGGATACTGTGCACAAAGTCAAGAATCACAAGACAAGGGCCATTACATGGTTTCCGTTTTCGAAATCCACCAAGGCCTTCATGTCCTAAAAACACATACAGTTAGGAAAACCAAATTCGGTAACGGTTTTTGAGAAAATGTGTCCCAATCATCTTGGACGGATTGATGGAGCTCAAACCAATATCCCCCTCCCACTTCGTGGCAGAGGATAATAATCATTCAACATCAACAGCAATCAACATCAACAGCAATCAACACCATTCAACACCAAGAACATTCAACATCAACAGCAATCAACACCACTCAACAGCAATCAACACCAACCAACATCAACAGCAATCAACACCATTCAACATCAACAGCAATCAACACCAAGAACATTCAACATCAACAGCAATCAACACCATTCAACACCAAGAACATTCAACATCAATCAACACCATTCAACAGCAATCAACACCAACCAACATCAACAGCAATCAACAGCATTCAACACCAAGAACATTCAACATCAACTATCATAATTTTAAACTTGTTACATTCTTCTTCAGGGGATTCACTATGAACAAGTTTCCATTTCAAACATATATTTTATCATTTGTTTGTTGTCACACTCAGCAACACTCTAGCCACACGACTGTGGCCTGAAGATAATCCAGGGATTGTAAGCATAAAGCTATTCCAACCTGTGATAAAAAAAGCCAAGTTGAAAGATACCCACCTGCATTAAATGCATGCAGCAGATAGTTCCACCACGCACAGATGCACAGTGTAAGGGGGTTTGACCAAACGCATCAGCATCATCAATGCCACGGGTGCCCATCTTTGACGTCAGCAAACTACACAACTCTATAGGATCTACAGAAGAACCATCCCTGTGCCTGAAGAAATTCAAAATAATCAGCAAACTGGAAATTTTCAAACAATGCTGGCAAACACACACAAGAGGAGACTTTCAACTTTTGAGGCCTCAATAATGTTCAGTAATATTTAATGAGTTTATCTCCAGCAGAAAGTCTTTTTTGACAGCTATACAATACCAGTGTGGCCTGTAAATAACCAACAGCCAATAGCGTGAACAATGATCAATGTTAATGCAATATGCCTCCTTGCACTGCCTTACATTACCAGCATAATACAATTCTCAACTTGATACGCACTGGAAATATTTTGGTGTATCAGGGCTCCATATAACTTTTGAAAGTACGGGTACTTACACCTCATATTTCAAGTGGAGGTGTACTGAGATTTTTGAAGGAGGACTGACATGTTTTTGTGTGAGCGAGTTGGTGATGTGGTTTGTTATTTATAATATTAAACAACTTTTCAGCTATTAAACTTTATATATGTTAGACGTACAATGGTATTTATGTGTGTACATGATACGTTTGAAATCTTATAATATGTCATACTTCATTGATTTTAAGTACATTACACCTGTACGCCCCTTAACTGTAGCCCTGTGTATGTTCTGGTATAATGGGTAAAATATGGATTACAACCTCGGTTAATATCAGTTGTGTCTTAACCAAAACTTCTTGATGAAATTCATTCACAAATTCCATTCACCTTAGCCAAAGATATTTTCTCAGTAAGTTATCTCCCCTCTATCCATGATGACAAAATGGCACCAAATGACTATACCTACTTTGACATTGAAATATTTAAACATAAAATGAGATCTTCATGGATAATTACTCTCTATCAAATTAACTCTTAAAATATTGTAATATATATGGCCATGACGTACTTATACTGTGTGTTCAGAGCACACATGATCTGATTCAGCTGTTATTCAGGGCCCCGTTTCATAAAGCTCTCGAAAGCCTAAGATCTTGTAACTTTCCTCATAGCATTCCTACCTCCTATACTGTAACATTGACTTACGATAGTCGTAGCGCTACGAGAGCTTTGTGAAATGGGGCTCAGGCCTGTATCCAGATCACATACTTAATAACATCATGTTTCAAATGATGAAACTACCAAGATAACATCCTCTTTAACAGACTTAACCTACTAATCACCCAGCTGACAGTGACCTGTAAACTATATTTGACTAGTTTATCTTAATGTAATGGTATCTCTGAATTCTTCGAACTGCCTCCCTACCTTCCAATCTTGACAAAAGCATAGTGAAGAGGAAGTCGTTGTCGGATGTCCTTGGCAAACACATCTGCACCTTTCTCCAGAAGGTACTCCTCCAGATCAGTGCTGGTGTCCGACGCGCCGTTGTTGCTGTTGATGGCTAGATGGAACACTGTCCGTTTGTGGTCATCAACAGCAGCCACACTGGCCCCCGCTGACACCAAAGTCTGGGCCATAGACAGCATACCTGCTTCACTAACTGAAAACACAACACAGAATATTACATGAAAAACAAAAGAAGAAATCACAGAGTAGTCTGAAAAATATGCTCCAAAAATCTTATTTTAACATGAAAGTATATATCCAAAGCTCTCAGGGGTACTCTGAACCCTAATTTCAGAAAAATCTGGTCAAAGTCATTGCTATGGTGAAACAAAGATTTGATAACATCCAATTACAGTCTAGACAAGACAACTTTAGTCCAATTTGATAAAAGAAATGACTAATAAGAAGTCTAACTATGCAGTCAGAAACAGCTTTCTCAGACAATCCAGTGATCAAAAGTATGAGCATCAATCAACGGAATTGGGATACGATGACATGTGTCAACCAAGTCAGCGAGTCTGACCACCTGAACGACAAGCATGGATTACTGGAGATCAATTCTAACCTGGATCTTCACGGCTCATAAAAGAATAGAATTATTTTCCACTCAACCAAGTTAAGGATTTGGAGAACTACTTGAAGAGCTCCTTGATAAGTGCAGGATCAGCTTTGAATCTAAATTCACAATACAAACATGTATATGCAGAGAGCAGCCAGTCCAGCCAGACACATTCAACCAGACAAAAACAACATGGCAAATCAGTTCTGGCCTGGTGAGCTAAACCACACCCTGCCCCTAAGTGTACTTACCTCGCTGCTGTACAACAAAATGTAGAGGTGTCTTCTGTGATTTCTTGTGTGTAATGTTAACATTAGCTTTAGCGTCCACCAACAATTTCAACAACTTCTCCTGACCAGTAACTCTGGAGAGGCTGTAGGACCTGAAAATGAAAAACGTAATTTCAAACTATTCGCAATAACATTTTGCAAAAGAAATCTAGTATAGCATCGACCTTAATATCCTTGACAATTTTCCAATCAAGAATGACCAAATACATTACACTATTACAGAAAATAGCCTGAAGTTCTAGAAGTTCTGAAAACTGGTTTGTTTTGGTTGTTGTTCAAAGGCAATCTCAGCAATATTCTAGCTGCATATCCAGGATGCATTACTGAGGTTTCTCTGACGAACAAATGGATAAACTGGGTCGACAGTAAGTAAAGCCTTGTAAACCACAGGCTGAGACTTCTCCGACGAACAAATGGATAAACTGGGTCGACAGTAAGTCAAGCTTTGTAAACCACAGGCTGAGACTTCTCTGACGAACAAATGGATAAACTGGGTCGACAGTAAGTCAAGCTTTGTAAACCACAGGCTGTGGTTACCCCACCGCCCCTGAATTTGGGTACAACATATATTGCAACACCAAGTGGTGGAAAGAAAGTGGTTAAGAACTTACATGGCAACCTGGAGGAGTGGAGAGATTGGTCCATCGTCTTCACTGGTGGAGATTGTGTTGGGATCTGCTCCGTGCTTCAGCTAAATCAGAAGGTGAAACACTTAAGGCAAGGTACAGATAACATTTCAGTTACAGGTAAACCTCAGCCTGTACATGTTTAAGTAAAGACCAGTAAATACACAGGTAAACAGTGTAAGAAACAATCAACAGAATGGGGTGAGATGGTCTCACTACCATTATGGAGACACCACAAAATTATTCTAGTATTTGCTTTTAAGCAAGGAATTCACTGGCCATTTCAACAAAATCCAAAAACCAACTTGTATAAAAACATACAAAATATACATTCCCAGTGTAAAATTTCTGCAATGGTTAGTAGGCAAACAGAGGAATACTGTAGACAACAGGTTGAGCACAACATACCAGTAAGTTGACCACTTCCAACTTCCCAGCTTCCACAGCTTCAACTAGTGGGGTTTTATCGTCAATGTTCTTCACTTCCAGCTTGGGCTTGTACTTTAGGATCAGCTCCAGTCCTGGAAACTGCACCTTGACACCACCCCGGTCAATGGCCGGTTCCCCGGAGACCCCCACCATCAGGTGTAATGGGGAGGATTTACCTGCAGTACCACATACATAATGAGAGTGATGTTTGTGGGAAGACACAGAATTTCAGTTGTTGGTGAGTCAGCTCAAACTGACTGACTGAGTTTGGTTTTACGCCGCTTTTAGCAATATTCCAGCAACATCACGGCAGGGGACACCAGAAATGGGCTTCACACATTGTACCCAAGTGGGGATTCGAACCCGGGTCTTCGGCGTGACGAGCCAACGCTTTAACCATTAGGCTACCCCACTGCCCCAAGTCAGCTCAAAGTGACATGAGAGAGAGAATGACACTGGGCTCCATTTCCTCCTATAACTTTACCTACAGCCAGTTTGTCACAAAACAAGAACGATGGTTGCAAAGAAAACCAACTCTCACTCACTCCCTCAACTGTTGTCATAGAGGTATGATTTTGTAACATCGATAGTTTCACGTAGTCATGGCGCTACAGTCCGTCTGTTAATAAATGAGAAGGACAAATATAAAAGTAATGTGGAATTCCAGTCCTTTCACATGCCAACTTTTTCCAGTCATAACAGCAGATGTTGCTGGGTGCAGGGTATTCACAGTGAAGTGCACTGACATTTAATAAACCATTCCCAATTTTGAGTTACACTGCAATTTATCGTCTCATTTGGTGGCAAACGGACTGTAGCGTTATGATACATGAAGGTCTATGTTAAAGTATTATTATTATTATTATAGGATATTTATATAGCGCACATATCCACGCACTAGTGCATGCTCAAGGCGCTTGTATTTTTTCCCTTGATCATTGGATGTCAATCTCAACGGCACATCGCATTATCAATCTCAACTCCCTGGGGAGTATACAACTCTTGCAGCCACTAGGCACCAAGTTATTGTGGCTTTCTAAAGTATGGTAGTTATGAAAGTCAAACATCTAGAAAATCAACTAAGTGTGAGCGAGAGTGGCTTCAACGCTATCTGACAAGCATACTTGTTATATCATGCCATGTCAGCTTACAGATGGAGCCTGAAATTATGCAGAACTGACATTTACCACTGTGGAGAAACCCCATACCCACAAGCATGTGTTTGGTGGAAACAGATTCAGAATCAGAATCTGCTCAAACCTGGATTCTAAGCCATGATATATGTTTCTGTCAAAAGGAAGGCAAATCTTCAGAGCAACTGTAGCTCCTTAAAGAACTGCATCAACCCAGCCCCTTTCTGGACCAGACAATCAAGTGATCAACATCATGAGCATCGATCTGCACAACTGGGAACCGATGAAATGAGTCAAAAAGTCGGTGAGCCTCACCACCCGATCCCGTTAGTCGCCTCTTACACTAAGCATGGGTATTGAAGATCAATTCTAATCCGGATCTTCACAGGTCTGTGAAACAGGGCAAGGATGCAAAGGTTTATCAACTTGGTGATACCAAGCGTAGAATGGTGCTAAAAAGACTTAGAATCAGACCTGGGGGTAATATTGACAGTGTTACTAGACCACTTGACCACCCATACAAATAATGCAACAACAAACGCTTCAATTCACTCTATCCCAACCAAGTTTGAGTCACACAAGCATACCTTCCTCACAGTATAGATGTCTTTCTTTAACTGGCATCTTCCCTTCCAAATACTTCTTCTCTACAGTCTTATTAATGTCTGATCCTGCCATATCGACCAATGTGCGAATGAAGTCACGTCCTTGTTGGTAGATCTTTTCCTGCTGCGGAAGAGGCCAGTATCCATCATTCTGTAAAGATAAATGACACTCAAATCAAGGAAACTTCAGTGGCTAGCAGCTGTTTGAAAGAGATATACAATTCCAAAACCTACAAGTCCAAAGTTCCTTGTGTATGTGAGAAAACTGTAAGTGAGTGAGAATGAATATAATAAAGTCAATACGGCGAAATGCGAACCTTCTTGAAACCAACTTTCAACTCAATACTGTGCCAACAATCTACATCAATAGAACCAATCAGGGCAAAACATGTGATTCAAATGCCTTTGGGATGCAGCTGTGAACAGAAAACTCCAGAGCAGACGCGGCAGACACCTACTATAATCAGGTTTAAGGAGGAGATGTATTTCATTTACCACATCATACTTCTGGGTAAATATGACTTTGTTCAATCTTTCTTACTTGCAGCTGCACTCAGCAAAATTTAACCAAACCTGCAGAGGTTTTCAATTCTTTGAAGAAAGTCGTCCTTGGGGTACATATTATGCATTTTCCGGCTGAAAAATGTCCTGTGACAGTTGTATCAATGTTTTTTGAATAAAAAGATTGTACAATAAATAAACTCTTTTATTTATTATACGGACCCTACCTCACGGAGTTACCTCCCTTAGCGCATGCGCACCAACTGGGTAGGCTCCTAGACCCGTATCATCATTCCTTCTGCTGAATTCTTATCAGTGAACAGAATTGCGGGGAGGTGGGAGGCCCTACCCCAAGGACGACTCTCTTCAAAGAATTGAAAACCTCTGCAGGTTTGGTTAATTCTTTTTCAGAGAGATCGCCCTTGGGGTACATATTATGCATAAACACAGACTCCCAAAGACCGGAGGCCAGGAGGAGGGAATTCTGTCCAAGCACACTCAAAATATAGCCATCGTGATCATGAAAAAAAAATTGAACAGACGCCATAACACTCACCTGTCACTGACCCAGTTTCGCCCGCCAGAGGCATTATGGGAGGGGAACTGACAGGAGGATTTGTGCTCAAAGACGACCTCTAGCATAATGAGACATTGCACGTAGTGCTTAATATCAACGAAATCCGACCCACTAAGTGGCTTCTTTCATGAGAGCACCGTGAGGGGAAAACAAAAATACCACTCACTAACGATACAGTAACTCCGTTAGAGAATCGAAGGGGTACAGGTTCTCTGAGTGAGCTCACATTAGCAGACATGTCAATAATGGAATCTTATTGTACAGTAGCGCCAAAACAAACCAATAAACCAAGACTCACTCGGTCAGGGTGGCAGGACACTGTCCACTGGAGAGAACAGTACGGCCAAAGTTTGCACGATTACGGAATGCGATCGAGCTGATAATGGCGATAAACGCGTGCTTGGCCGGCTCCAAATAGCGGGCGGAGCAGATCTCTTCAATGGGGAGTGCCGATGCAAAAGCTTTTGATGCTACTGCCCTGACCGAAAGTGAGCCTTCAACCCCTCAGGGGAGGCTTGCCCTTAGCCTGATAAGCGCACAAATACACGATACTCAGCCAGCTTAGACAAAGTCTGCTTGCTCGCTGGCAGACCAGCCTTCCCGCCACCAGTAATAACAGAACAGCTGGGTACCCGCACGGATCCCCCGCGCTCGCTTTGAGATAGACTTTGAGCGCCTTCACGGACATCCAACGGGTGAGTGCTCAGAGGAGTGGTCCCCGGCGTGGAAGGCTGGGTAAGAGTAGGAAGTTCGATAGGAGCTGTCACATGGAAAGCGTGATCGACCTTCGGTCGGTAAGCATCTGGGAGGCTTAATACTGACACGATCCCGTGTGAAACACAGTCAGCGCCGGTCGGACGACATAGCATGTAAATCGCCGACCCTTCGACCAGATGTTACCGCCACCAGAAAAACAGCTTCCAGGTCAACAACTGAATGGAAATAGCCGATAGGTGTGAGAAAGTGGGACCGACAGCCAATCGAGCACGATCGACAAATCCTAAGGTGGACTGGTTCGCCTGAGAGCAGGTCGAATCCGCTCCCGCCAGCGAAAGCGCCAGACGAGAGGGTGCTGCCCCAGAAGAGCACCATCGACAGGTGTGAAAAGTGGAAATAGCGGTGGAGTAGCCGCCAATGGTCGGGCCGCCAGGCCTTCTTCCAAACGAGCTTGCAAAAACTCCAATACTCGGACTAAATCCGCAGAAAAGGGATCTGCAATCCCCTTATCTGAACACCAGCGCATAGCGGGACCACCTATCCCTCGTGATCGAACGCTTGTCGAATCCGCACCGAAGCCAGAATTGTGTCTGCAACTGCTGCAGGAATTCAAGCGTGCCTCGAGGTTAGACCTGACAGAGGCCAAGCCACCCACTGAATCCGTGGATTTGGGTGGGCGCTCCGCTCTGAGTGAGAATGTCCGTCGCGAAAGGTAATAGAACAGGAGGCTGAGCCAGAAACCTGAGAATTACCGGAAACCAGCTCTGTGACGGCCAAAGCGGTGCCAGTAGCACAAGTAGCCGAGCTGGCTGGGTGGACAGCTGTGAAAGGACACGGGAATGAGTGGTAATGGCGGAACGCCCAGAGCACTTTGCCCGCCCAATCCAGCAGGAAGCGCCGGCAGCCAACGCCTCTGGGTCCGTATCGAGAGCAGAACACGGGTGTCTGATGCGCCCCGCCGGACGCAAACAGATCCACCTCGAACGCAACCCGCATAACTGGGGAGATTACTGTGAATATCTGCCTGTCGAAAGCATCCACTGCGGCGGGCCAGGATCCGGGCGAGACAGCGCATCTGCTCGCACGCTCTCCAGCCCCGGAGATAAACAGGGAGTACCTGACAATCGCATTCGGTCGCTCCAGAGGAGAAAGTCCCACGCTTCCCCGGAGGGAGCTGGGACACCGTGCCTCCCTGCTTCAGGATGTACGACATGGCCGCCTGGTTGTCTAACTGAAGACGGACTACCTGGCCAACGGACATGCTCTCTAAAGCCAATACCAACCGCACAGCTCTCAGTTCCAACACGCTGATGTGAAGGTGAGCTTCGCTTCGACCAGAGTCCGAAGCCGACAGACTGCCCAGAACGCCCCAGCCCGTGAGGGACGATCTGTCTGAACTGTGAGAGCTGGCGCTGGATTTCCAAGGGGAACCCCTGGTGAGATTCCCGACATTTGTCCACCACTGAAGGTGAGGTGTCAACCACTCGGGACTGTGAGACTGCGCTCCAGATCCTCCGCGGTGAGTCCACAGCCGAGCCAAAGCTTGCTGTATGGGACGATCCTCAACCGCTACCGCCACACTACAGAGATCGCCGCCGCCATATGGCCCAGTAGACGGAGCCAAGTCCGTGCTGGTGCCTGGGGCTGGGAGAGGAATGAAGAGACCATCTCCGAACTCTGGTGACTCCGGTCGGGCGACAAGGAAACGAGATCCTTGTTCGCTTGAATCGCGGCCCAAGAAAAACCAAGTCCTGGGTGGGTACCAGGTCGGATTTCTTGAGGTTGATGATCCACCCCAGTCGAAGTTAGAATGTCTATCACTGTGTGAGTAGCATCTTGACTCGCTGGCTGTGTTAGTGCTCTGAGCAACCAGTCGCCTAGGTAAGGGTAACAACGCCTTTCCTTGCGGCGCAGCTAGGGTAGCTGGGACTAACATGAGCTTGGTGAACACCCTTGGGGCAGTCGATATGCCGAAGGGGAGCACCCTGAATTGGTAATACATCCCGTCGTAAGAGAACCGAAGGTACTGCTTGAACGAGGGATGTATGGGTACATGCAGATACGCATCCTTTAGGTCGATTGACGGAGCCAATCGCCGGGCTGAACAGATGAGATCACCGAGCGCAGTGTCTCCATCTTGAAGGATGGTACTTCTAGCATGCGATTCAACCCCTTGAGGTTGAGAATCGGACGGAACCCGCCGTCTTTCTTCGGGACGAGGAAGTACGTGGAATAAAATCCCGCCTGTTCCGCTCCCGTGTAATGCGCTTCGATTGCGGACTTGTCCAGCAGAGCCTGAACTTCGCCGCGCAATATGTCCGCCTCTGGCTTGACATGACGGCACCGGAGTGCGACGTATGCCGTGAAGTCGGGCGGACCTCGCCCACAGTGGGAGATGGCCTATGCTGACCGTGGCCAGCACCCTGCTGTTGTTGGTAGCCTTCTCCCATTCCGCAGGAATAGAGAGAGGCTGCCTCCCACTGGGATATGGGGTAGGAGCTGCGGCGTGGACCCGAAAGTAGCGGAGCTGACTGGGCGTGACACACGGCTTGAGCGGCAGCCTGATGGGTTAACGGGAGGTCGGGCAGACCTCCCGCCCTAAAAGGCTGGGAGCTAGTCGAGGACTGCTCCTTGCCCCTACCCTTGGCGGACCTGTTCCTCCGCCTACCCCTACCAAGCGGCCGGGCCAGCCGGCAGACTCGGTGTAGGCTGCACCCCGGCGGAGGAAGGTGGCACGGAGCTGCTGGGGCGACACCGCGGTGCTCCAACAAGGCCTTAGAATCCTTGAAGGAGGTAGCTGCAGCGCAGCCTCCCGTGATGACCTGCTGGGCTCCGAAAGAGGGTCGCCCCAGACGGAAAGGGAGAGCCAGCAAGGTCTGCTGTGTTGCTGCCGAAGTACCTAGACGCCGACAGCCACAGCCGGCGCGATCCCCATGACTGGCGCGACATCACCGCCGACGCAGCAGACCGCAAAAGTCGTCGCTGCAGGTGAGCCTGAACTTCCGAAAAGCTGACGGAGTAGCAGACGACATACGCGGCGACATCGCCGCCAGCATGCCCCTCCGCCTCCAGGGCCCGACCTCTGTATCGAGGAGAGGTAGGCCTCATGGACCACCACCCGCACCTGCTGCATCGCGCTCTGGTAGACCTCCTGCGAGGGTCCGGTACGCTGCCGCGAGGGGAAGGCGCCAGGAGGGCAAAGGTGGAGTTAGGCGCCCTTGCCGAGCAGCCGAGCTGCTCCGAGGAAGCCGAAGCCTCCCCAGGGCTTAACGGAAGTGAAAACACATTCGGCCAACAATTGGTACAACGAACAGGGAATCCTCCCAAGCTGGTAGCCCGACGAAGTTCAGGTAAGTCAAACCTTACCGGGCACCAGACAAGAGGGGATCGACCACGCCCGAGACCAACGATGGCAGAATGCGGAGCTGCGCTCTGTGAGGGTTGCCTAGGGGCAAAACGCCGCCAGGCAAGCTGAACTCAGTCGAGTCCACGCAACCAGCAGGCACCGCTGCCTGGGGTAGGCCTCGGCAATTCTCTGCCGGACCTCCCGCAAGGCCGGGCAAAACGGAAGTCGCCCGCCGTCAGGCTCCTCGACCTCCCCTTAAGCTCCATTGCCTCGGCGGCGTCCGAGCCCGAAGTCAGAGGCTGGGTCTCCTCCGTGAAGAGGACCCTAACCCCGACCCGTGGACTGCCTAACGCTAGGGAACCACAGGAAGGGAAGAACAGACAGACTGCTCCATCGCCAGCGCCAGCCGGGCGCGGCGTGGACTCCTCGTCCCAGACGCTGGAGGCAGGCCAGGCAGAACTGGTGCCTCCGGCTCTCATGGGGCGGGGGTGCGCAAGGACCGGAATACCAGGAATACTCAACGGCCCTCGTAGCTGAAGCCTCGAGAGGGGACTGGGAGCACCTCCCTCCTCGAGCAGCCGAGGGCGCCCGGATCCGAAGCCAGAGGCAACGGATCTACAGACGCCTCAAGGCCGAGGGATCGAGCCGAGCCCGGCGATCCACCCTCGACTCTCCGCCCCGTGGAGTGGGTGAGGAACTCCTGCCGGAGACCTCCAACCGACTCACTAACGAAGGACTTCATCGAGTCCATCTGCTGCTGAAACATAGACTCCATCAGTGACATGTCAAACCACTGGGCGGCAGGAGAGGGGAAGGGCCACGGGATTTTTTTCCCTTTTGACACACGCTTGGACTTAGACGGGGAACCAAGCGCCAGGTCCCCTCCGCCTCACGATTTCAAGCGATAGAACAAGGTGTCGGGCAGCCCGCCTCTTCTGGGCCCGGGAAAAGGCCAGACAAATAGGGCAGGAGTCAGCCTCATGGCCTGTCTTCTCCAGACAGGCCACGAACTGGTATGACTGTCGGCCCGGGATACTCCCTCACAGACCGAACAGCATGAAAAGGCCTGAAACAAACACGCAAACATGTTAGTTAACGGGCGCCAACAGCATATAAACACGTAGAAAACATTGAAAACTACGGAAGGTTACCACGAAAGTAATAGTTGGTTTTAATACGCAATATTACGACCACATGGCACGCTAAACTTCCCGCCATGGCAGAGCAACACGGCGTAACCACGGAAAGTTTCGTATTTTGTATTAATACAAAGTCACAATTATGAAACAACCAACTGTAAAGCTTTACTGTTCTTGTTTTAGACAAATAAAGACCATACATACAGGTGGTGTCTCAGACATAGTCTCTTTTAACAGCCGCATCGGCTCATGAATGGGTTACTCAAAACACGCCTGTTCACGGCCGTGACAGCAGAAGGAATGATGATACGGGTCTAGGAGCCTACCCAGTTGGTGCGCATGCGCTAAGGGAGGTAACTCCGTGAGGTAGGGTCCGTATAATAAATAAAAGAGTTTATTTATTGTACAATCTTTTTATTCAAAAAACATTGATACAACTGTCACAGGACATTTTTCAGCCGGAAAATGCATAATATGTACCCCAAGGACGATCTCTCTGAAAAAGAATTGAGTGAGTTTAGTTTTACGCCACACTCAGCAATATTCCAGCTATATGGTGTCGTTTGGTAAATAATCGTGTCTGGACCAGACAATCCAATTGGGATACGATGACATGTGTCAACCAAGTCAGTGAGCCTGACCACCTGATCCTGTTAGTCACCGACAAGCATGGGTTACTGAAGATCAATTCTAACCCGGATCTTCACAGGTGCAAAGTTTGAGATATATGACAGTGGACTTATAAACAAGTCAGTACAAGACAATCCACTGATTGAGTACTTGAGCATGGATCCATGCAGGTGAAACACAACAAAGTGATCAACAACATCACCAAGCCTGACCACCCCATCCATTTAATCACCAGGCTGGGTTTTGTTTGATTGGTTACTGTTTAACGCCGAACTCTGCAATATTCCAGCTACATAATAAATAATAAACTAGATATTTATATAGCGCCTTTATCCAGGACTCTGCTCAAAGGCGCTCAGTCATATGCTCTCGAGAAGAGGAATGTTTTCAGTTTTCCTCTGAAGTTTCTCAGAGTCTCAGTGGATCACAGATCTTCAGGGAGCTTGTTCCAGAGGTCAGCACCACCCTTGGAGAATGACCGATCTCCATATGTTGCTGTTCGTGTTACTGGCACAGTGACAGTCAAGCCTGATGTCGATCTTAAGGCTCTACTTGGCCTGTATGGCTTGATGAGCTCCTGGATGTCGCTTGGTGCTAACCCATGGAGTGCCTTGAATACCAGAACCAGGACTTTGAACTGTATCCGTTCATTCATTGGCAGCTAGTGCAGACCTTTTAGTACTGGAGTGATGCTGTCGAATGTCCGGGTACCCGTTATCATTCTTGCAGCAGTGTTCTGTATCCACTGCAGCTTGACCAACTGAGTCTTGGTTAGGCCATACATTAGGCTATTGCAGTAGTCCAGCTGGGAGATGACAAAATCTTGGACTAGTGTCTTGACTGCCTCCTCAGTCAGATACTTTCGGATTTGGCTGTTGTTCCTGATGCGGCAGTATGACTTACTGCAAATTTTGCTGACATGGCCTTTGAAATTCATGGCAGAATCAAAAACAATCCCTAGGTTTCTTGCAGAATCACTTGGTACAATACTGCAGTTGCCAATAGTCAGTGGTTGGTGCGACAAGGTGTGTTGGTGTGAGCTACATGACAGCGGTCTGTAAATAATCAAGTCTGGACTGGACAATCCTGTGATTGACATCATGAGCATCAATCTATGGAATTGGTAAAAACTGACATGCATCAATAAAGTCAGCTCACCTAACCACCAAATTCCATTAGTTGCCTCTTACGACAATCATGGATTGCTGAAGACCAATTCTAAGCCAGATCTTCTTACCCAGAATTGCCACTGGTTATGTGTTGGTGGTAGAAGCTGACGTCACACACTCTCATATATTTTCCCATAAAGTTCCTACCTGATATTTCCTGTAAGTATGACAAGCCCGGAGTAGAGGGGTCATGCCGTCTTTGTCAACAGCCGCTGCCATCTTCTTAAGAATGCTCTCCTCCACAGCCTCCTCCTGCATGGGCTCATCCTCGATCTCGCCGTTCACTTTCTCCACCTGTTCAGCGGTCTTTTTCTCAACCTTTTCTCCATTCAGTTCAGCTGCCTTTTCGTCGTTTACTTCGGCTGATTTGCCATCACTGTTTCTTGTCTGCTCATCCACCTCCATAGCCTCGTCCTTCTTCCCAGATATTGGGGTGTCCACCTTCTTCGGTTTCCGGGGAGATCGTGCTTTCTATAAACAGTACATTCTCATTGTAGAATTGACTAAAAATTCCATACTGAAGGAGAGGATACATTCATCTCAAAATACCACAATTGGATTTGTCTCAACATCAAATAGTCAACTTATGCTGATGCAAAATTAAAACTGACTTTAAAGAAGTTTCATCTGAAAATAGTTCAATATGAAAAATTGTGGATGATTATTAGGGGCTGTTACAATTCACTCACTATGAATTCGTTATTCGTGTTCATTTGAAATGGACATTCATGAATTGATTATAGGGGAGTATTGTTACTTGAATTTGGGTCTTATGTATCCAAAACAAGATAAGAAATGTGCAATATAACCAAACCAAATTAGATAATTATCAACATAACATCATATTTGACTGTAATGTGGCCACTGTGAGAAATTAACACTGTCAGCATGGTCAAAACATGTCAAAAAGTTCATTTGTTTCATTGTATTTTATTTTTTTTCATATGATATTGTTTCACTGAATATATTGAATAACACATCAATGGCTGACTTGTCATTGTATTTGTTAGCCCATGTACATATTTGTTACACAATAATCATGATATGTATTGTAAGTGCCTCATGGAGGATTCGTTGCAGTTCTAGCGGTTACTGTTTTTATTGTCAACAAACTTCACATCAATGATCTCACAGATCCCAGAGAATCTACAAATCAATTGTCTTTTTCTGAATATATTATAATCTCAATAATCTCACAGATCCCAGAGAATCTACACATCGATTGTCTTTTTCCTCAAAGTTGCTTTAAAACCTCTCATCAGTAAACAATACACCACAGCACCTTCAGAAAGTCAGAATACAGTCATCTCAAATGGACATACCTGATCTGCCAGGATTTCCACAAGCTGAGCCAGGTCGGTGGACATGCATTGTTCCGCCATCATGTGCAGAACGTTCTGGTGTGTCTTCGGGTTCTTCTCTGGGGACACTGAGCCTCCGTTCTCCACCAGGTAGTGCACCAGCTTAGAGTTCAACTGTAATCAAACATCAATACTGAAGTGGGGGTGAACTACATTGAATGGGGGTATTATTGTACTTGATTTTACAGTTATGCAAGGGCATGAAACTAAATTGTTAAATTTTATTTCTTTTCCCCTTCTATTAAAAGTTAAACATAAAAGTTTAACCCAGAATCACTTACTTTTTGTTGCTTATTTCTAGTAGTACTTCTGAAGATTGCAAATTATTAGAATATCTCGTGTCAGGTATCCTGTGAACAAGTTTATGTACCCAGAGCCAGTGTTATGTCGCTCACGATCAGAGCACACCATATACAATGGATACTGTTTGATGACATATCTTCCAAGCATAATTATCATCCATTTACCAGTAATGTAATAATAATAATAATAATGCTAATTTTTGTGCCTAGAATCCAACGCGATGCTGCTCTCTGGTGTTACATTATTACCCTGACGGAATTGCACTTTCAAAGCTGCTACTAAGAGCTTCGTGAGACCGTACAAGTCCATACATCCGCTTCTCAGGTACCCATTTTAAACAGCTGGGTGGACTGAGTGCAATGTGGACGAAGTGCCTTGCCCAGGGACACAACACAGTATGAGACCCAGGTCACAAATTTTGGTGTCTCCACCGGGATTCGATCCTGGGCCAGAGCTCCAGATAAGATTTAGCTGATGTGGGTACTGTACCCACTGTATTTTTTGGAGTGGGTATTATGAATGTTGAGTGGGTATTTCATTTTCCGTTACAGCTTTCAAATATGTGCGTATTTCGGTCATTTTACTCACCTAAGTATTATGTCATTGAGTAAGTTTACTAAGCAGGTATGTTCTGCTTTATGTCATACTGAAGCAAAACCAACTTAAATATAATGGAAATGATTTCATAAAAGAATCACTCATCCTATACTGACAGTACGACACTAGTCCTATACTATCAGTACAACTTGATAGCAATCGATGTCTTTTTCATTTTTTATTTTACTTTTGTTTTAAACTTTTAGCTGCATTTAGCAATATTTTTTCACGTGGTGGACATTTTCTATATGGATGTGAGTCTGTAGTGTGAATAATCACCACTACACCACAGTGATAACCATGACTTATCACTATGGTTTCAGAATGGGTGCATGGGCATAACCGCAGCAGACATCAACACAACCTTCATTTTGTTTCATGTTTAAGCTGCATTTAGCAATATTCCATCTATATTAGTCTGGATCAAATCTGGACCTGACAATCCAGTGATCAACATCAAGTCAATCGAGCCATTGGGATCCCGATGACTGTTAATCAAGCCAAAGAGCCTGATCCCGTTACTCCCTTCTGACAACAAGCATGGGTTTTTGAAGACCAACTCTAACCCGGATCTTCACAGGTCCCAACACAACAATCTATTGCTCTTTCAGTTACTAATCCGAAACAAGCGTCTCAATGCAAGGTATCCTTGAGGGTTAATATTACAGGGATGGCAGCAGGAAAATCGATTTTCAGCGGAAAACTTAATATTGTGTCATCGAGTTGAGGGTTTATTAATGGATTTAGACGATTCACAATTGAACAATTTGAAATAAAATCAGCGGAAACCTGCGGACCAGCGGAAAATTGCCATCCCTGAAATTAGATGTGAAACGATACATCACTGCATCCTGACTTTTCATGCGAGGATACAATACGTGATTGCAACCTCATTTAACCTCATTTAACAACCTCAAACCCCTAGACTTTCATTCATGCTCTCCCTATAGCCTGAATATATCTCACCTGTTGGACAGCCAGCATGATCGGTGTCGAGCCATCGTTGGTCGGCTGTGAGGGATCACACCCTGCTTTAATCAGACATGCTGCTATCTGCACAGTGGTTTCCATGGCGCTGTCACTTACTTCAGATCTCTAAACACAAAACATACCATTTTTTATGAAAGGCACAAATATTCCATAATTCATCATTAGAAGTTAGCGTGTAAAGCATCAGTCTACTGTCATCCAAATAATTACAGCACCATTATTCAATCTGTAAGACAGCAGTCTGTAAATATGCAAGTCTGGGCAAGACAATCCAGTGATCAACACTGTTTATTATTCTCGATCAGCACACAGCATTACCAAAACCCACAATACACACCAGCACTTGTTGCCCAACATTTGTCAAATAAATACAAAATACACAAAGGCTATTATAAGCATTTCTACTTGAAGTTGCACTTCCTTAGTATACTACCAGAAGTGAATCTCAAATGTTCAACTTACATAATAATCCAGAGAAACTTTAATGCTGTTGGCAGCTAAGTGATGCAGCTGAAACAAGACATCAGGTTTATTGAAAATGATTAAAATATCCTGGAGAATCTGAGTTTTAACCTATTACCATCAGTGTCTGGCAGGACCAAGGATGTTGACAGCATAGCAAAGACCTCTGATGACAAACCTTCCTTCCTTCCTTCCTGAGTGAGTGAGTTTAGTTTTACGCCACACTCAGCAATTTTACAGCTATATGGCGGCGGTCTGTAAATAATCGAGTCTGGACCAGACAATCCAGTGATCAACAGCATGAGCATCGATCTGCTCAATTGGGAACCGATGACATGTGTCAACCAAGTCAGCGAGCCTGACCACCCGATCCCGTTAGTCGCCTCTTACGACAAGCATAGTCGCCTTTTGTAGCAAGCATGGGTTGCTGAAGACCTATTCTACCCCGGATCTTCACGGGTCCTATCCTTCCTGATAAAAAGGTGAGAGAGTTTGAACAGTATTCTCGTATATCAGTGTCTGGGAATGATGTGAGACGGAGGCCCATACTGAAACAGGCCTCACATGTAAAACTCAGCAACACTGGTAACATGCTGGCAAACCATCAAAATAATTAGGGTGAACAGGTATTCAAATCCAGGATTCTGGCATGTCCAGGGGACATAACTCTGCATAACAAACTCAGCTCAAAATCAGATGTGTCCAATCTGAATTTCCCTCATCCTTAATGATTAGGTTCACTTAAAGTCAGACTATGTAGGACTGACAAAAATGTCATGCACTGAATTGGGCATACATAAGGGCAAAGACATATAATATTCTAGGTTTGGTTGGTTGGTTGGATGGTTGTTTAAAGCCACACTCAGCAGTAATCCAGCTATATGGCGGTGGTCTGTAAATAATCGAAGTCAGGACCAGACAATCCAGTGATCAACATCATGAGCATCGATCTATGCAAATGGGATATGATGACATGTGTCAGTCAAGTCAGCGATCCTCACCACCCGATCTCGTTAGTCGCCTCTTACGACAAGCACGAGTTACCGAAGAACAATTCTAACTCCGATCTTCACGGGTTAATAGTCTAGAGAGTATCTGTTTAAAACTGTAGAAAATCAAACAGCATGAAGTCCAGTGCTGAACTTACAGCGTTCCTGCCTTCAAGGTCTGTGATGGTAGGGTCAGCCTTCTTCTCGTTCACCAAGTACTCCACCTGGCGGACAAGAGCCTTTGTCACCTTGCTCCGAACCGCAATACTTGTCAACGTCATACCTAATACAAGAAGAAGTCACAGTCAGTAGTCAGATCTTGTACAGGCGAACAAAAAATATTTGAAATAATTTTGTAAGCGGTTCAAAATGTGCACTCCTTCAATACTGCCAAATGATACTCCATACAGAGCACCCCGTTCATGTAACTGCATCTTACGATCTTCTGGGTACCTATTCTAACACAGAATCCCATAAGGGTTTCAGGCCATGCATAGTTCTCAGGTCAGGACTGTACCAGACAAAATATACTGCATCCCACATACATACCAACCCCCCCCCCAAAAACTGAGGAGAAAAACTGCCTCATTTATTTTTTGGCTTCAAACTTCATCAATATTTGTCAATCAAGAACGGAGGAATTTCAGGTTATAATGTGACCCAAACAATATAAATAATCGGCTTGACTTCAGGCACTCAACTGCAAAGCATGATATCTGGGTACTAATGAATTGTGGTGAAGTCCTAGTTAAGTATTAGACACAGAACTGACCAGTTTCATCCTTGAAGTTGATGTCCACCCCTGGCTGGTTAAGCAGCAGTTCCACCATGCCCATGTTGTTTTTCAGGAAAGCGATGGCCAAAGGAGTGCACTGAAAACAACAACATAGCGTGATCACTAATAACTCAATCAAACTAACTGGCACAGCTGTCTCGATAGTACTCACATATATGTCAGCAATTAGTCTTGCCAAGAATAGTCAATTTAATTCAGCTTTGGAGTAACCAATGGGGTAAAATAATATAATCAAACAAAGACCTTCGGCGTAATGCTTTAACCACTAGGCTACCCCTAGGGGAGACTTCCGGCATAAATTAGGTGGAGAAAACCATCATAAAGTGTGAGTGAGTGAGTTTAGTTTTACACTGCACTCAGCAATATTCCAGCTGTATGTCGACAGTCTGTAAATAATCGAGTCTGGACCAGACAATCCAGTGATCAACAGCATGAGTATCGATCTGCGCAATTGGGAACCGATGACACCCGATCCCGTTAGTCGCCTCTTACAACAAACATTGGCTGCTGAAGATCAATTGCTGAAGATCAATTCTAACCCGGATCTTCACGGGTAACCACCATATAGACACTTAGGATGACGATCAAAAGATGATCTGAAACACTGATGACCATCATCATCAAAATGTTGGCTGCAGGTAATTAGGTTTGTCCTAATCTGTACAATCTGGCTCCATGGGCAACTTACATTCCAGGAGTTGGCCACAGTGGTATCTGCACCACCATCATTGATGAGCATCCTGAGAGTGAAGTACCAGCCGATGCAGCAGCATAGTGGACGAGGGTGTTGCCAGATGAATCAGCACGATTAGGATCGGCCCCCAAGTACAGAAGGTAGGAAGCCACGTGACTGTTTCCGTTTATAACTGCATGGGTCAGGGCTGAACGCTTGAACTTGTCTGCAAAGAAAACCAGGATTGTGATTACATTTGGTTTGGCTGACTGACTGACTGAGGTTGGTTTTACGCCGCTTTTAGCAATATTCCAGCAACATCATGGTGGGGAACACCAGAAATGGGCTTCACACATTGTACCCATGTGGGGATTTGAACCCAGGTCTTTGTCGTGACGAGCCAACGCTTTAACCACTAGGCTACCCCACCGCCCCACATTTGGTTTGGTTTGTTGTTTTTTACACTCACTCAGCAATATTCCAGCTATTTGGCGGTGCTCTGTAAATAACCGAGTCTGGACCAGAGAATCCAGAGATCAACAACATGAACATCAATCTACACAATTGAGATACAATAACATGTGTTAACCAAGTCGGCAAGCCTGACCGCCTGATCCGTTAGTAACCTCTTACGATAATCATGGATTACTGAAGACCAGTTCTAACCCGAATCTTCACGGGGTCGTGATTACACTTTGAGGCAAATGTTAATAATGTTGACTGCGAAGTATACCTTTTCAGAGGAAATTACAAACATGTCGACTTCATGTCAACTTAAAGATGTGACATAGAAGATAGAAACAGTCTATATATTGTAAATGAGGATAAGAACCAAGGGAATTACCACCACCAATAGTCACAAAACCAGTGATTGATAAACAATATCCCATACCAATAGGGTGTAATGCAACAATATCAATTAGCTGGGCTTAACACTGCTTTCAACAGTTGTATCATGGCATATCAGCCTAATGAGGAAGGGAGCAAAGCCCTCAGTGATGTAGATCCAAGAAACCTGATCTCCAGATCCAGTGAGCAGTTTTAGTCAGTACAATACAAGCAGGAGAGTCCTTGCATGCAATATGAGGGTCTAACAATCAATCAATCAATTAGCCAGCTAACAGTGTAGAGAAGTGTACGTTTTGATAATTTCTTTAGAGCCTGGAATGAAACATTGATCATATGGACTGATGGATGAAATGATGCATGTAACTGCTCTGAAGAAACAACCAAAGACTTAGCAAAGTCATAGATGTGTTGTAGGTACTGTGAATAATATTGTGGGTCCCTTTGGACACAGTGAATTTTTTTTTCTGCATCCATTCTCTACATTTGTGAGTACTGGACGCGTAAAACCCTGTACAAGTAATTTCATATTAACCTTATGAAAACCTGGAGATCTGGTGTTTGACATTGCACTAAACTGCACACTTTTTAATATCCGTTAACTTATAGGTAGCAATGAATGTATTGTATAGAGTGTGAGTCCACTTTCATCAAAATGTTTACTGGATTGTCTGTTTTTAATGTAAAGTCATACTCTGCAATATTTCAGTAGTATGACAGCAGCATGTGAACAACCTGCATCTGTGACAAGTTGACAAACACATGTCGTGAGAGGAAAGTTTCATGCAGTAACCGCAGAAAACAAGCCCTCACATCTGACCTATTATTATTCACTCTCACATGGTCTAAGTGGAACTGCTTCAACAAAATTCGACAGATTCCACAATCAGGCATAATCTGGCTGTATTCCACACATACATTCTGGAACTTACCCAACAGTTCCACTGTGGCCCCATTCTGCACTAGAAGGCGGGCCACATCCAGGTTGCCAGTCTCCGCAGCCATCATTAAGGGGCTCTTCTTCTCCTTGCCAGCAGACACTTGCTTGTTGAGGTCAGCACCATGTTTGATGAGAACTTTAACCACATCCTGTAAAAAATACCACTCCTTCAATGAGTAAAACCCAAATTTAATTGCATATAGGATGTAGAATCAATGAACTTGATGGAAACTGAATTGCCCCATGGAGTTCAACTGTGCTACTACTGCTCCATTTGGGGGGGTACGGAGTCTGCGTTGAGATGATGTCGAAACCCTCTTAGACTTTGGCTGCGGCGGCGGGATGTCTGGGGATGCAGGGCGCTTCATGGAGGCGGCGGACTCCCCCACGCCTCTCCTCCGAGGGTAACTCTAGCGGAACACCAGACGGGAGGGGGTCGTCCGACAGCAGCTGACTGGCTAGGGGTTCCGATGTATCGGCCATGGCTAAACCTTGTTTGCGTGACCTATCTGCTGCACGTCTCATGATGCAAAGATAATATTTATTAAATGCAGAATTAGACAGATTAATACAATAACTGCAACGTGAAGAAAACGCACATGGCGTAGTATAGCTAGGGCATATTAAATGTGGATCAGCAGCAGAAAAACGTAATCTACAAATAGTACAGATTTTCATCAACGTAAACTAGCTGAACAAACACGGCGTCCCGTGAATAAACAGCAGAAATACGATTAATTATCAATACATAATTGTAGAAGGATACTAGCTACACCTCTATAGAAGACTATAAGAGGTAATAAACTAAGAATAATCAAAGGATATAGTGTGTAGGGAGACACAGGCGCTCTCACATCCTGCTCACTGGGCGAAGAAGGAGAGAGTGAAGCATGAGGCCAGAGGGTGGCGCCTCCTTTCCCGCGCTAAGGAAGAGGGAGGCAACTCATGGTGAGTACTAATTAGTGATTTTACATTGAAGGGAGCTTCAATTAGGGAGATACAAGTGTTCCACTATGTTCGCAAGAAGAAGAAGACAAGCAAAAGAGCATGAGTCAGGATAAGGAAAAATTTCAGATGTTTCCAAGTAGGCAATTTTGTGTGTAATAGTCTATGGCAAAATATCAGTTAAGTTTAGGAGTGTTATACTCTACATTAAGCTTCACAGTATAAAAGAGTAAATAGTCCACATTAACCATTATCATTCACTGCTATTTCATAACACAAAAACTATCTTGAAAATCTTAAACACATTTTGTTGCAGAAAAAGTGGTAGACTGCATGATCAATGGCCAATATCTTCAGACCTCAAGCAAGGCATAACTAATTGTTATAACTTTCTAAAGGCAAGTTGCATTTTACACTTAACTGACCTACAAGAATAGATGTTTTCCAACGTCACTGGGAATGCAAATATCAAATGTAATATCCAAATTTTGAGCAAAGTATTTTCTTCTCAAATTGCCTACTGAAGGGTATGTTGGAATTCAAGACAAATTTTGAGATGGCACCATGCCATCACTTCCTTATTTTATCTCTTACGACAGCAGTAGTCACTTGGCATTCAGAAGCTTACCTTGAGAAAAGCATCATTGCCCTGTTTAGCGCCTCTGCTCACATTGAGTGCCCTGATATTACCCACTCCAAGAGATGTTGGGTTGTAGCTGCAAGAGACACATCAGTGAGTGTAAGCTACAACAATCTACTACAAGCATCGACCCTTGGAACCTACTCCGACCGAGAATCCACATCTTAGTCGAGCTCTCATTACAAGCATGACCTACTCCGGCCAAGAATCCACATCTTAGTCAAACTCTTACTACAAGCATGGACCCTTTAGACCTACTCTGCCCAAGAATCCACATCTTAGTCAAACTTTCTACTACAAGTATGGACCCTTGAGACCTACTCTGGACAAGAATCCACAACTTAGTCAAACTTTTACTACAAGTATGGACCCTTGGGACCTACTTTGACCAAGAATTTACATCTTAGTCTAACTTATTACAAGTGTGGATCTTGGGACCTACTCTTGACAAGAATTTACATCGTCTAACTTATTACAAGTGTGGATCTTGGGACCTACTTTGGCCAAGAATTTACATCTTAGTCTAACTTATTACAAGTGTGGATCTTGGGACCTACTTTGGCCAAGAATTTACATCTTAGTCTAACTTATTACAAGTGTGGATCTTGGGACCTACTTTGGCCAAGAATTTACATCTTAGTCTAACTTATTACAAGTGTGGATCTTGGGACCTACTTTGGCCAAGAATTTACATCTTAGTCTAACTTATTACAAGTGTGGATCTTGGGACCTACTTTGGCCAAGAATTTACATCTTAGTCTAACTTATTACAAGTGTGGATCTTGGGACCTACTTTGGCCAAGAATTTACATCTTAGTCTAACTTATTACAAGTGTGGATCTTGGGACCTACTTTGGCCAAGAATTTACATCTTAGTCTAACTTATTACAAGTGTGGATCTTGGGACCTACTTTGGCCAAGAATTTACATCTTAGTCTAACTTATTACAAGTGTGGATCTTGGGACCTACTTTGGCCAAGAATTTACATCTTAGTCTAACTTATTACAAGTGTGGATCTTGGGACCTACTTTGGCCAAGAATTTACATCTTAGTCTAACTTATTACAAGTGTGGATCTTGGGACCTACTTTGGCCAAGAATTTACATCTTAGTCTAACTTATTACAAGTGTGGATCTTGGGACCTACTTTGGCCAAGAATTTACATCTTAGTCTAACTTATTACAAGTGTGGATCTTGGGACCTACTTTGGCCAAGAATTTACATCTTAGTCTAACTTATTACAAGTGTGGATCTTGGGACCTACTTTGGCCAAGAATTTACATCTTAGTCTAACTTATTACAAGTGTGGATCTTGGGACCTACTTTGGCCAAGAATTTACATCTTAGTCTAACTCTTACTACAAGCATGGACCCTTTAGACCTACTCTGCCCAAGAATCCACATCTTAGTCAAACTTTCTTACAAGTATGGACCCTTGAGACCTACTCTGGACAAGAATCCACAACTTAGTCAAACTTTTACTACAAGTATGGACCCTTGAGACCTACTCTGGACAAGAATCCACAACTTAGTCAAACTTTTACTACAAGTATGGACCCTTGAGACCTACTCTGGACAAGAATCCACAACTTAGTCAAACTCTTACTACAAGCATGGACCCTTTAGACCTACTCTGCCCAAGAATCCACATCTTAGTCAAACTTTTACTACAAGTATGGACCCTTGAGACCTACTCTGGACAAGAATCCACAACTTAGTCAAACTCTTACTACAAGCATGGACCCTTTAGACCTACTCTGCCCAAGAATCCACATCTTAGTCAAACTTTTACTACAAGTATGGACCCTTGAGACCTACTCTGGACAAGAATCCACAACTTAGTCAAACTCTTACTACAAGCATGGACCCTTTAGACCTACTCTGCCCAAGAATCCACATCTTAGTCAAACTTTTACTACAAGTATGGACCCTTGAGACCTACTCTGGACAAGAATCCACAACAACAATCCACTAAAAATTTGGGTCCAACAATCCACTAAAAAAATTGGGTCCAACAATCCACTAAAAAATTTGGGTCCAACAATCCACTCCATTTGGGTGATTCAATCCACACCACACATTTGGGTGCTACTATCCACACCACACATTTTTGTGTTACAATCTACACCACTGTGGTGCTACAATCCACTTATTGAGATGCTACAATCCACACCACACTTTTGGGTGCAACAATCCACACCATTAAGGTGCTACAATCAACACCATTAGGGTGCTACAATCCACACCATAAGGGTGCTACAATCATCACCATTAGGGTGCTACAATCCACATAAAATGGTTGCTACAATCCATACTACTGCAGTACAGTGACAAGTAAACCATAAGGTCAGAGCTTATCAATCGACATCATGTCACCAGTGGCTTAAAGTATGAGCATAATCCATTACACTAAGATACTACAATCCATACCATTGTAACACTACAATCCATGTCATTTGGGTTCTACAACCCGTCCACGCCATTGAGGTGCTACAATCCACATCAAGTGGGTGTACTACAATCTATACTGTTGAGGTACTACAATCCACACCATTTGGGTGCTACAATCCACACCGTTGTGGTGCTACAATCCACACCATTTGGGCATTCCAAACCACACCACACATTTGGGTGCAACAATCCACATCAAAAGTTTGGGTGCAACAATCCACATCAAAAGTTTGGGTGCAACAATCCACTCCATTTGTGTGATTCAATCCACACCACACATTTGGGTGATTCAATCCACACCACACATTTGGGTGCAACAATCCAAGTCACACATTTGGTGTTACAATCTACACCATTGGGGTGCTACAATCCACTTAGTTAGATGCAACAATCCACACCACACATTTGGGTGCTACAATCCACACCATTGGGGTGCTAAAATCCACACCATTGGGGTGCTACAATCCACACCATTGGGGTGCTACAATCCACACCATTGGGGTGCTACAATCCACACATTTGGGTGCTACAATCCACACCATTGGGTGCTACAATCCACACCATTTGGGTGCTATAATCCACACCATTAGGGTGCTACAATCCACACCACACATTTGGGTGCTACAATCCACATCAAGTGGTCGCTACAATCCATACTACTGCAGTACAGTGACAAGTAAACCATAAGGTCAGAGCTTGACAATCAATCCCCATTTGGGGAAAACAGTTCAAGCTGTACATGAGAGGCAACATAAATGCATCAGCCTTTTATTACTGCTCAGTAACTCTAGACCAGTATGTAACATACTCACCCTGTAGACATCACTCTCACTAGCAATAAGAGACTTCAGCAGGTCAATGTCCTTGGTCAGCACAGCTCGGATCACCTGCCTCGACTTTTCACAGGGATTGATATGAAAGGTATCTTCTCTCTGAAAACAAAAACCATAATTACAATCTTCCTCCTTAAATTTCAACTATGAAAATAGTTCACCTGGGATATATAGTCATGCATACGTTTATAGGTTTTAGGTAAATTCGTCCAATATAATTTTCACCTACTTGGTTTCGAAGAAAAGATTTTTTTCCAGCACTTTGATCTTGGGGTTTGGTTTCAAATTTCTATCGGGTCCCTTCTTCTTTGCTTCCTTTTTCTTTGCTTCTTTCTTTCTCTTTTCTTTTCCCTTCCCCTTTTCTTATCTGAAAACAAAACAAGTAACATTATTATCTGCAGAAACAGCTGTAAACATATCAGTAGCAACTGAAGCAAAGCATTTAACTACTAACAAATATTAAGGGCTATTGTGGCCACTGTCAGAAGTCAACAGGAGTGAGTGAGTGAGTGAGTGAGTGAGTGAGTGAGTGAGTGAGTGGTGAGTTTTGAGTGAGTATGCCTTTTAGCAATATTCCATCAATATCATGGCAGGGGACACCAGAAATAGGCTTCGCACATCGTACCCATGTGGGGTATCAAGTCTTTCGCGAGAGGAGCTGACGCTTTAACCATTAGGCTACCCCACAGCCCCAGCAGTTAGAAGTTTTACAGACTCCGTCCTTGTGTAGATGAACATGGCAGGCGACAACAGTCTCTGGAAGGGATGTTTTCTAAAAGGCTGGCAGTCCCTATGTATCAGAGGACAAACTGAGGCTTTTTCAACCTCAGTTCTTTTAACTTGCTAAGAGCTTTAATGGATACCTATTTGAGACACAGAACAACTTGTTGGGATCAAGAGCTTGGGAACATGCACATGCAGCAGTGACAAAGTCCTGACTGAGTGAGTGAGTTTAGTTTTAAGCTGCTTTTAACAATATTTCAGCAATATCACGACTGGGGACACCAGAAATGGGCTTCACACATTATATCAAACCTGTGTCATCAGGTGACAAGCGCACGTTTTACCAACTAACCTACCCCACTGTCCCGATGATGTTCACTAACATTGGCAAGTTCAAACTAACATTAATTCAGACAACCAAGTCACCAAGCCACACCACCCATCAGGTGATATTTGTTCACTTACAACCAACCTACAACTGACTCTGTTCTAACCTAGAATTGCCACAGAACAACAATCGTCTATTATTTTAGTCATGACAGAGAAGACTTCAACAGGTAATAAACATCAAATGTTGCTGTTTGTTCATGTACCACACAATAGACAAACCCTAACATAAATGTTACAAACATTGAAAAACAACAATCCACTTATTTCATTGGAAGTTTGCATATTCTGCCTTCAGAGTCTGTTGACATGGTTACCATATTTTGCCTTCAGAGTCTGTTATCATGGTTACCATATTTTAGTCACAAAAGAACCACTTCAATGAAACAAGGGAAGTAACTCTGTTATGTTGGATGATCAACTCCCTGCAGCATGTTTTTCAACATGGATGTCTAAAATTCACCATACTGGATTTACTTTTTGTTGATTCTAATTATGGTTATCACTACTACCACTCAGAGCTACACATAACGTATTTGGTCACTGAGTTATGTACTCGGTTGTGTTCATCTCAATTGGGTATCCTAATTTTCCTTTGAGTAACCAAATAACTTGTACCCACTTCACTCGAACTCAATTGGGTATTTTGCCATTTTCCATAAATTGTAAAAATATGATAAAGTTTAAAGTTTGGTTTACGTGTTTGTTATGTATATTTGAACTGGATTGTGAGAAATGATGAGATAGACTGCAAGTTGCCAAGTCCATGTGTTGAAATAGAACGTCTCAAAAAACATCAGTTATTTCATCTATCCACCGGTATGCAAGCTAAGATTGGACACTTTTGTATGTACGCAATCAAGTTCAATTTATTGAGTATTTACAAATATTCAAGCGTACTTGTACGCAATAGATTCAATATGAACTGAGTTTTAAATATTTGTGTAATTTACGCAGATACGCAGCTTATCTGTACCTCTGCCACTACTTTGTTTTCAATTTCAGCCACCCATTTTGAAACATTAGCCTCGTCCCAAACTTTGTAAATAACAAAATCATTTAGGGTTGAATACATCATTTCTAGTTTTGTTAAAACCTTTAACTTAAGAAAATCTTTTAAGGAAGATTTCCTCACATCAACCCTGAATATATTTTGTGGGTGATGGGATATGGGGTTCACGTCACAGACAAGATTGTTGCACCTAAATAGTGGCATGTGAAACAAGAAGACATAGTCATGAATATATCCCACGGTTCCTGTTTTGTAACTTCACCACGACATTGATGTCCTGAAAACACATACCATATTTGGTTTACCTATCAATAACGGTTACTGAGTAAATCTGTTCCCATTGGGGATACCGTGCACTAAGTCAAGAAACGCATGACAAGGGCCATAACTGATAACTGTAAAGAATTGCAACAATGTTTCCATTTTCGAACTCCATCAAGGCATTTGTGTCCTGAAAATACCTACCACATTTGGTTTCTCTATCTATAATCGGTTCTGAGAAAATCTGTCCCCATTGGAGATACAATGCAAGAAACGCATGACAAGGGCCATAACTCTGTAACAAATCGCAACAGGGTTTCCATTTTCGAACTCCAAGGCATTCATGTCCTGAAAGCACATACCAAATTTGGTTTCCCTATCTGTAATGGTTTTGAGAAAATCTGTCCCTATCATCTCAGACGGATGGATGGACGGATGGAGCTCAAACCTATACTTCCCTCCCAATTCGTGGCGTGGGATAATAAACTAGTATTTTCTACTCATAAATATTTTAGAAGCAACAAATTCAGCTGAATAAACAAAAATCACATCTTCATTTCATGTTTGTTGTTAACCTACCTTTATCTTTCCTTTGACTTGACAGCTTCGACTTTTACCTGAAAACAGTAAACACACGAAGCAAATTAGTAGATTTAGGCCAGTAATCACCTATATTACTCACCTTATCATGGTAACTTTCAAATCAAAAACCAAAAACCTACTAGGGCTGCAATGATCCACCCAGACCTCGATTTTTTATATTGGACAGTCGATTAGATCATTTTCGATTCGATTATTCATACAAGTAAAAACGTCAGATTTCATTTAACTCTCAGAGTTCAAAAGAGTCAGCATTTTTAGCGTGAAATCCATTGTCAACTTGGCAATGTCTACTAATGACAATGTTCATTGGATAACTAGCCCCGCCTTATTTCAGCGCTCGAAACTGCTCGAGTTGGATTAAAAATTACGTTCTCGCTGTGTGGACACAATTGAAATAGATATTCAAATATTGAATCGAAATAGTGATAATGGTTATCAAAAATCGAAACTAAGATGTCAGATTCAATTTTCGATGAATGGAATCGTTGCAGCCCCCAAACCTACTGTCAACAATAACACATCAGCTGTCACAGTATTTGGTACTGGGATATGTTCTGTCACTGTATCCCTGACAGGATGAGTGACCCGTGATGATTGAGTTTAGAATTGATCTTCAGTAACCCATGCTTGTCATAAAGGCAACTAACGGGTCGGGTGGTCAGACTCGCTGACTGGGTTGACACTTTATTGTATCCCAATTGCGTAGATCGATGCTCTTGCTGTTGATCAATGGATTGTCTGGTCCAGACTCGGTTATTTACAGCCAGCCGCCATATAGCTGGAATATTGCTGATCGTGGCGTTAAATAACAAACCAACTGACAGGATGAGATTTCATACTGTTTAGAAAACAAATACCCTCTGAAATCCATTTTAGGATAGTTACACATGCTCAAATAATTATTTTGGAGTTATTTATAGAGACTACTGAAACCAGTACAATACATTCAGCTTTACAACAAATAATAGTAACACACCTTTAGACAAAGCCACCTTGATTCCGGATTTTGATTGTTTTGAAGGCTTGGATTTGCCTTTGACAGATTTCTTGGGAGGTGGTTCATCATCCCAGTCTGAAAGAATGAAAGGTCATAGTTTTAGCAATGTATGAAAAAGCAAAAAGCACCTAGCTATGAAGACACAATATCATTGAGAAAGTGGTCAAATGTAAATGTACTGAGAAAGTGTAATCCCACATGTAACATATGTTAATACCAGGCTGCCATTAAAGACAAAAGAAGCCGATGACCAACTCTTCTGGCCTCATTAGAACACTGCAACTCATTGTAACAACTCAATGAACACAAATTTACTGCAAGCCACAGGGACCCATACAAATCTGAAACTACAAGCATCACACAAGATCTGCAGGCCAGGGGCTAAAATAAACTGATAGTAATTCCCACTATTATTCACTTCCTTACTGAATTCATCAACATAGTAATCCAGTGCCTGCCAAAGTAACTACACCGTAACGCTGAAGTAATTAAATCCAAAATTTGAGCGGTAGTGAACAAACAGTTCAAACTTTGACAAAACTAGAACATTACTAGTAAGTAATTGAACACCCATTCTACCAGTCTATTTTCTGTTAATGAATCAGAGATTCTTAAATCTGGATAAGATGATCTGCATAATCTATAACTATTTATAAATTCATCAAATGAAATCTGTTACAGACAATGAAATATGTTGAATGTTAGGAAGCTCATTCAAACACTGATGAAATATTTTGTTATGAAATCTTAGAAACTAAAAATAACAGCAATTCCTTAAACAAATGAGTGGTAGCTATACATAAGAGTTCACTAGAAAAGGTCCTCTGTTCAATTTGCATGAATGAACAATTGCAATTTGGAATAAAACAAGTATTTATTGAATTTTCACTTGGGACAAGTGGCTGTGTGAGGTTAACTGACCTTCATTCTCCTCTTCTTCCTCTGAATCTTCTTCCTCTTTCATCTCTTCTTTCTCAGCATCAGCAACAATCTCGTCTTCCTCAAAAGGCTCCCCACGTTCAGCCTTCACTGCTCTCTGAAGAATCTTCTCCGCTCTCTCCTGCTCCGCGTGGGGTAGACGCAAAGTATCCCGAGCAATGCGCTCCATTCGGACATTGGTCAGCACACACTCAATGTCAGTGTGGTCAATATAGTCCATCTTGTAGATGTTGGGGGGCTGGTCCAGATTGAGCCACTGGATACGGAACTGGCGTGTAGTGCTATGCACATTCTGTTGAGTCTTGCACAAGTAGACAGAATCTGTAAAAGAATTTGCAATTTTGTCAATAATTTGTTGCAAGATCTTGACTATCAAACAAAGAATATATGGGAATCTTGAAGTGGTGACGTAGCTGCATAAAGACTTGCATAAAGACTTTCAGTCAGTGAGTGAAAGTGGTTTACACCACTTTTAGCAATATTCCAACATTACCACAGCTGGGGACACCAGAAATGGGCTTTACATATTGTACCCATGTGGGGAATCAAACCCTGGTCGAGCAGGCGCTTTAACCACTAGGCTACACCACCCCAGACTTTCAGAAAACAATAAACAATCTGTCCTAGCCATGACTTTACATGGGGCTTTGGTCAAAACCATTAGCTTTGCAATGATCATTAAACCTGCTAATTTATCAGTGCAAAAACATCTGTTTGGAACTTACTCTCTGCACCACGTACAGCCAGGAAGATGCCCTTCTTGTAGAGGATGACGATTTCTTCCTTTGGAGGTTTAGGTTTGACAGCTCCCTCCTCCAAGACAGGGGACTGGAACCTGGCAACGGGGATACGCTGGCGCTTCAACGGAGTACGGGGCTCCACATTGTATACCTTCTTTCTCTGAAAAACAAAATATATCAATCGTGAAAATTAAAGTGGTGTTTACCTGTGTAGTAACAGTTTAAATGTCATCGTCTCATCAGGTGGGGTGGGGCTGTAGGTGTAAAGTTTAAGTTCATTTTGGTTTAAAAGTTGTAAAGACGAAGGGAACACAAGAGTAGCAATGTTGTGGTGCATACATGAAACGAAACACAAGTTTACTGATACTCCATTAAATTCCATTCAGTACTCTAAATGTACTCTTAAGGTTTTCCAGTACTCCTATGTTGAAAATATAAGGAGTACATACTCCTGATGATGAAAAATTATCTGGAGCCCTGAAGAATATTTGGGGGGATACTGTGAAGAAATTGGGTTGTCAGTAGTCTTCACAACAAACTGTAAATCAGCAACAAGAAGCATGATCCCAAACATTTTTGTCCAGTACAAAATACTTTCTATCATGGAACATTTTTAGCAAAAACTTTTAACGTATCAGAAAAGTAAATTCAGAGTGAGTGAGTGAGTGAGTTTAGTTTTACGCCGCACTCAGCAATGTTCCAGCTATATGGCGGCGGTCTGTAAATAATCGAGTCTGGATCAGACAATCCAGTAATCAACAGCATGAGCATCGATCTGCGCAATTGGGAACCGATGACATGTGTCAACCAAGTCAGCGAGCCTGACCACCCGATCCCGTTAGTCGCCTTTTACGACAAGCATAGTCACTTTTTATGACAAGGATGGGTTGCTGAAGACCTATTCTATGATGAATTTACCTTAACTCCATGGCCACTTCCTCCACTGCCAGAAGCTTCCTCCTTTGTCTTGCTCTTGTCGCCTTTCTCCATAGTGTTTGCCTACAACATGTACAAATAAATAGCTTCATGTCATATTTGGTTTGAAGTCTGTTCCCTTGTTCTGATTTCAAAAAATCTCGTTAGAGAGGTCATGTTCTATGTATGTTCTATGTATGCATACTCTATGGGTGGCCCGTCATAATGACCTGCTGATTACCATCGAGAATTTTTGTTGATTGTAACAGATAGTGGCTAATCAATTTGCTACCACTCACGATCCGAAGAGTCGATTGGCTGTCGATCTCAAAATTTCTTGTGACATAATCTTTCCATCATATCAACACAGAGAGACGTTGTTGGACAAAAGAATGGATTGCAGCATGCATAGAACATACAGCAGTTTAATTAGAGAATTAGAAAGTGAGGGCTAACAGGCACGTTTTAATTTTTTTTCACATTTTTCAACAGTGGACAACAAAACACTGTTTTCTCGTTGGATAAATCAAACTGAGGTTTCTTTGTAGCAGACAAAGCCATATTTTGTGCTTTTGTGAAAACTATTATAACATAACATACAAAGTGAAATTTCCTTGGCCACACTTCACCCAACTTGACAAAAAGCTGAACTCCAGACACCTGTGAGACAATTGACACATGTTTGTCCTTTTTGTCAAATTCTATTAATCACTCAAACTGGGCCGACCTGTGCAAATCTGCCTTCAGAATGAAACGTTTTACTTTTGATAAGGTATCTCCATAGGCAGTCATCTTCATTTCTTTATGATCTAGATTCAGAAAATTTAAATCTTTGCAAAAGAAAACCATCAGAAAAGAAGACAAGCATGCCCTTGAAAATACACAGGTTTGTGGATACAGAAAGACTTCCGCCCGTATCCCCCCTGAAATTTCATTCTAATCAAATCATATAACCTGAATATATATTCCACATCTGATAAGGATGAGTTTTAAAATGTGTTTTTTTAAATTGTATCTTTGTATCTGAACATACTGAAAGACATATCCAACTTCTAAGAATGCCACTCGAAGAAATGTTTCCTCATCGTTAAAATTTAGGGGGGTTACATGCGGAAGTCTTACCCAGTCCACTACCCATTTCACAGCTACTGCTGTATACAGGAGGAAACAAGTGGTACCAGGACCAAAAGCTTAACTCTGTGTATAACACTGAAGCAGATACAGAGCATATGTTTCAGGAAAGACAATGTTTTAAAAGTGACCATAGAATCTGAAAGCACAGGAACAAATCTGAAAAAAAATGTTTTCTTCATACTGCCTGCTGTAATAATCTTCAACATAGAACACATGAAAACTTGTCTAAACTATATGGTTTGAGGTTTCAAAAAGACAGGTCTATACACAAGTCAAAATAATCAGTCTTCTCGATAACAAACAGAGAAATCTGCAAACCGTGAAATAAAATCTGGCCTAATTTTGAAGCATGTATGCAATATATTGAAGAATTTTGATTTACCATTGTGCACAATACGATATTTACTCCAGTACAATCCAGCGTTCAAAAGAATCACAAATATTAAGCTTAAATTTATGAAAATGATCAGCTTGCATTCAAAATATTTTTAAAAATACAGAGCTCAGCAAACACCATAATTTTTAATGGGATTTATCCGATTAGATGACCATCTGATTTCTTTATAAATCATTACTTTCCTCACAAGCAAACCATGACCGACACTAGGATTAAAAATTAATGAAACTCATTACATTCTGAGTGCAAGCAATATGACCACTGGGAAAACATTCTGTGAGGCTGCACTGGCAGCGAGCTTGTGTTAACATTATTTAAAGCCGACAGAATACCTTCAAATGACACTTTAAAAATCTGCTATCCAATAACATCACATGATTCCATGGCACCATAGTCTTGAGGAACCTGGTAATGACCATCTTGTTACTATTTGCTAATTTCTACACAGAAAATACAAGTACCTTCTTTCTTTATATATTCAATCTGTCCGACTATGATTAAAAGATTTAATCTATTACGTAATACATAAAATGCATGTACTATTGGCAAAACAGATTTTTTTTCAAAATCATGCAATTTCCATGAAGGATCGCTGAACGCCTTTGCGCTATCCTCGACCATGTCGGTGTTATCAACTACTACCTCATTACCGTATGCGTAATATCTCAGCAAAACAAAACAAAGAAATCTGAAAAATCAATGAAGTCAGATCGGAGAAGGTAATGTGGTCGCATATCATTCGTAAGAATAAGGATCCGACTTTTGCTTTCACGTTGAAAATATGCATCCCGTTTAGTTCCAATGTATTACGCAGATACGATATTTGTAAACAATAAAATAAATACAATCGCACCTCAAGATAAAACGCGCTAGGTATGCGTATCCATGATGACAACACTCGCCGAATGCCGAGACACCACAGCAATACCAATTCACAGGAAATTGGGGTCCATTCAGGCAACCCATTGGATTACAACCAGAGCGCAAAACGCGCCAATCACTGTATCACATGGCTAAAAATTGCAACAAAATCACAATCTAACAGTATATATATCATACGCACCGTATACACCGTTCACATCAACAGCTTAAAACAACGCTGAATGATTTAAATTCGATGCGTTTTAGCAGAATAAGCGATGTATATTTTCAAGTGTAAGCCGGCATTACGAACACATGGTCGCCATCTTTCTGGCTCTTCTATTCAATTTACTTCCTCCCTTAATATACTGGAACACAAATGTAGTTTGATGTTATATTTCGATCTGTCATGCAAAGTCATTCCTAAAACCTATACGGATATATAATACAAAAATACATACCAATACAATAAACAAACCGCACTTTCTTTGGACTGTTTTAGACAGGTACACCAAAGTTCATCGTAAGGGTAATCCGCTAGACATAACAGCGAAAAACACGTGGTCACATGATCAAGTGCTCGCAAGCTGTAACTCTCAGCACTGCGTTATAGGTCGCTTTGCAATAAAAAGACTAGACACAAAGTAGGCTTCGCTAGCCCAAGCGTCGTAAAGAGGACATTTCTATTGTGACCTCAATGTCTCGAAAACATATTTCAAGAACTACCATCTCTCGGCATATCTGATTACAAGAAATTCAGAAAGGTCTAAATTTTAAACATAAATTACCGTAAACCTTCATTCTGTTCAAGAATCATTCTTGTCGAGACAGATTATCAATAAATATGACTTCGTCATGAGTGTCTCTTTAGATTTGAAGTGAAACAAAAAAACAAGAGCAATAAATACGTTGTGTAAATATAATTTTAGTTGAATATGCACATAACATTTGTTGCAATAAAGCAACTTGACTTACTGGTATCTGTTTGACTTTTAAGAGGAATCGGCAAACAATGACGTCATCAAAGCTGTTACTTGCCGCTTATGGAGATTCAGAAGCGAAAATTAATAAATTTATTATTTTGGGCTTAAATTGGGATCTTATGTAATAACTCCCATTAAAATGTATAAAAAATAAAACCACCACCGATCCAATGTCACAAAGATTTCCGAAACATAACTTTTCATCCATCCAAATGGCAACTAGCAAGATTACAGTATGTAGTACCTTTGTGGGGGCTTTAGGTGGCCTGCGTTGAAGACAGGATTTATAACGGTAGAAGTAGTCTTGCTCCAAGGCTATACTAAAGCCTAAGCCCATAGATGTATAGTAATCCTACCCTTTAAAGATGCAAGTCTAGATAAGGACGCTATTCTGTTAGAGGTATTTTTGATATTTTTTATAATAACTATTTTAAACTATCAATTATTACTATAGAGACTTATGCAAGTCTAAGGACGCCAGTCTTTTATTTACATTTTTGTAGAAATTATCGTTGAAACTATTAATTATTACCTTAAAGACTTGTGCAAGTCTACGGTATAACGAGCCCTACATTCCCCGGTTATTTTCCCTTCCTTCCATCCTTTTCTGTAATGCAATAGGTTAGCTGAAGGAAGTCTAGATTTTTCGCATGTTCCGCGTCTGAATCTCCCGCCTTAATGGGAGCATTTTCAATTTTGATGGCGTTTTGGTTTTGTTTCCATCAGCTGCAAGGTGTAGGTACATATCATAATGAGTACAAAGCATGTTTCGTTCGTATCACACGCCTGCATCAGTTGTTCCCACGTGGGAGGGGCGGTGGGGTAGTCTAGTGGTTAAAGCGTTGGCTCGTCACGCCGAAGACCCGGGTTCGAATCCCCACATGGGTACAATGTGTGAAGCCCATTTCTGGTGTCCCCCGCCGTGATGTTGCGGGAATATTGCTAAAAGCGGCGTAAAACCAAACTCAGTCAGTCAGTCAGTCCCACGTGGGAAATTGAACCCGGGTCTTTGGTGTGACGAGCGTACGCTTTAACCACTTGGCTATCTCACCGTCCCCAGTTTTGCTGAGGTGTATCGTACGACTGAACTGATACTTTGCCCGTCTAGCCAGTTGCTTGTCGGACGAACATGGGGATGTATATATACCAGGTGGGTGCAGATATAGGAGAGGTTACGCATTGCATGGTTTCCCTCGCATAAAATCTGTATATCTGGTGTTCTCATCGTTGATAATCATCCATATTCGATAATCAATCATCCAGTACTGGGGCGTAGGAGGTAGCCAGTAGCAGAGGGTGCAATATAAATGAATGGTAAATAATATCACAGCTGTAATGGACCTCGTCACGCCGAAGATTTTGTGGCTGTTTGAATCCCCACATGGGTACAATGTGTGAAGCCCATTTCTGGTGTCCCCCGCCGTGATGTTGCGGGAATATTGCTAAAAGCGGCGTAAAACCAAACTCAGTCAGTCAGTCAGTCGATAATCATCCATATTCGTTGTTTATTACACTGCCTAATGCGTGTTAGAGTTTGTTCGTTGCTTAACGCTGGTTACCGGTGAAGATGTGGGTTAAAATTGTTTTTAGCAACCAATGCATGTCATAAGAGGTGACTAACGGGATCAGGTGGTCAGACTGGTTGACTTGGTTGACACATGTCATCGTAACCCAATTGCTTAGATCGATATTGGTGCTGTTGATCACTGGTTAACCTGGTCCCGACTCCATTATTCACAGACCGCTGGAATATTGCTGAGTGCGGCGTTAAACAACAAACACAAACGCCGGACAATAATCAGTTGAGTGACTGAGTTTGGTTTTACGGCGCTTTTAGCATTAAGCGGTATGTATAAAAACGCCCCGAATGTGGATTACACAATCCAGTGATTGTCATCATGAGCAATGAAATTTCGATACGATGACACGCCTGAACTGAGACACCGAGCCTGACCCCACGATCCCGTTAGTCGCCTCTGACGACTAGCATGGGTTGCTGAAGACCAATTCTAACCCGCGTGTTCACAGGTTATGCGTGCTACAAGTGGTAAACCTGTTTTACGACATCACCTTGGGTTGTCCCCTCCGCAGACATCAGAAGCAGCGACATAATTTATAAAAACTCACCTACACTTTAAATCCGTTAAAACATGCAAGTTACCTTTGATTTTATTACAATTAGCATATATAATGTGAAAAATATTACAAAAGCACCTCACAAACCTTTGTCGATTTGAGGTGTTCTAATTAAGCCTCAACACAGACGAACACACTTATTACTTATCACACGAACCAGTTGTTTTCTTTTTGGAATCATTCGCCTTCAAAATACTTTATTTTCAGAATAAGTTTAATCAGAAACAAAGCTCTGAATTTCAGTATACCTGTTTGCAAAGTTTACGAGGATGCTATATTCTGCGGCACCTAAGATCACATGTGTACAGTATACAGAACATTACTAGGAGCACATCTGTGTATACAGAACGGCACCTGGTGAACATATGTGTACATGAAGTATACAGAGCAGTACACGGAGCACATATGTGTATACAGAACGGCACCTGAGATGCATATCTGTGTTAATTATACTGAGTCGTACTAGAAGGACATTTGAGTACACAGATGGGTATATGAGGTACATTTGTGTCCACACCAAATGGGTATATGAGGTACATTTGTGTACACACCAGATGGGTATATGAGGTACATTTGTGTACACACCAGATGGGAATATGAGGTACAATTGTGTACAAAGATGGGAATATGAGGTACATTTGTGTACACAGATGGGAATATGAGGTACATTTGTGTACACAGATGGGTATATGAGGTACATTTGTGTACACAGATGGGTACAGATGGGAATATGAGGTACATTTGTGTACACAGATGGGAATATGAGGTACATTTGTGTACACAGATGGGAATATGAGGTACATTTGTGTACACAGATGGGAATATGAGGTACATTTGTGTACACAGATGGGTATATGAGGTACATTTGTGTACACAGAAGGGTATATGAGGTACATATGAGGTACATTTGTGTACACAGATGGGTATATGAGGTACATTTGTGTACACAGATGGGAATATGAGGTACATTTGTGTACACAGATGGGTATATGAGGTACATTTGTGTACACAGATGGGTACATGAGGTACATTTGTGTACACAGATGGGAATATGAGGTACATTTGTGTACACAGATGGGAATATGAGGTACATTTGTGTACACAGACAGATGGGAAGGGTACATGAGGTACATTTGTGTACACAGATAGGGTATATGAGGTACATTTGTGTACACAGATGGGAATATGAGGTACATTTGTGTACACAGAAGGGTATATGAGGTACATTTGTGTACACAGATGGGAATATGAGGTACATTTGTGTACACAGATGGGTACATTGAGGTACATTTGTGTACACACAGATGGGGAATATGAGGGTACATTTATTTGTGTGTACACAGAAGGGTATATGAGGTACATTTGTGTACACAGAAGGGAATATGAGGTACACATGTTGTGTACATGAGGTACATTTGGAAATACAGATGGGTACATGAGGTACACACACACAGATGGGAATATGAGGTACATTTGTGTACACAGATGGGAATATGAGGTACATTTGTGTACACAGATGGGAATATGAGGTACATTTGTGTACACAGATGGGAATATGAGGTACATTTGTGTACACAGATGGGAATATGAGGTACATTTGTGTACACAGATGGGTATATGAGGTACATTTGTGTACACAGATGGGAATATGAGGTACATTTGTGTACACACAGATGGGAATATGAGGTACATTTGTGTACACAGATGGGAATATGAGGTACATTTGTGTACACAGATGGGAATATGAGGTACATTTGTGTACACAGATGGGAATATGAGGTACATTTGTGTACACAGATGGGAATATGAGGTACATTTGTGTACACAGATGGGTATATGAGGTACATTTGTGTACAAAGATGGGAATATGAGGTACATTTGTGTACACAGATGGGGTACATGGTACATTTGTGTACACAGATGGGTATATGAGGTACATTTGTGTACACAGATGGGTACATGAGGTACATTTGTGTACACAGATGGGAATATGAGGTACATTTGTGTACACAGATGGGAATATGAGGTACATTTGTGTACACAGATGGGATATATGAGGTACATTTGTGTACACAGATGGGAATATGAGGTACATTTGTGTACACAGATGGGTATATGAGGTACATTTGTGTACACACAGGTACAGATGGGAATATAAAGGTACATTTATTGTACACAGATGGGAATATGAGGTACATTTGTGTACACAGATGGGA